GTACGTCATGCCATTGACTTTTTTCCTAAAACTGAACACTGCGTAACACGTCAGAGGCCTTTACAAAAGATAAAGTGTAACGTCATAGACGACTTCTTTCGTGCAAATCATGCGTCAGGAATTGTACGTGAAAAAAAATCTCCCTATCCCACACCGACATTCTGTGTCAAGAAGCCTAATGAAATGTGGCTCATTGTTCACGCTTACAATAAGCTTAATGCATCCACCATTCCGGATTAGACACCAATCCTAATAAATTATGTGCTTCAGAACAAGAAGGTTGAATGTACAATGTACATTGCTCTAGACTTAGTCGATGGTTATTAATAATTTCTCAATTGAGAGAGCGATATTCCGCTGACAGCGGTCAGCAATCCGACCGGTATGCTCTGGGAGTGACTCGTTATGCCGCAGGGGTTATCAAATGTCCCGTCTACATTCAATAGTCTTGTGACGCAATTATCCAGACCTCATCGGGGCTATGCAAAAACGTACTTTGGTGACATCTTTGTATATAGTCGTGCTATAAACGGTCGGTCAGGTGTGGATAATCATTTTGATCATTTGCGAGCGGTGCTCGAGTGCATGCGCACAAACAGATGTATCCAACGCATCTAAGTGCACGTTTGGTGCAGAAGGGGGTCCTTTTTAGGGTGCTTCATTGAAAAGCGAGGCCTTGGAGAGGATCTCGCTAAGGTAAAAGCCATAGTTTATTAACCGGTTTCGAAGAGCCAAAAAGACTTATGTAAGTGACTTGGCCTCGCCAATTATTTACACAAGTATAAAGCGAACACGCAGATATGGCTCGGTCATTATCCAATCAATTTAAAAATGAAGTGGAGCGGTGCTGGACTAGCAGTGAGCATGATGCTTTATAAGCAGTAAAGGAGAGTCTCCTTTATGCGCCAATCTTGGCTTTGCCATGTCCTTATCGGCCGTTCAGTGTCGTCTTTGACGCATCTGACTTTGCCATAGGCAGTGCTCTGTAACAAACTGATGTTAAGGGACGGAAACGTGTCATTGTGATTGAGTCTCGACAGCTCAAAGCTATAGAAAGAACTATCCTGTTCATGACAAAGAGCTACTTTCAATAAAGTGTACTCTCGTCAAATTCAGAGTCCATCTACTTGGCTCTAAGAGTTTTGTGATCTACGCAGATTAAGCGTCATTGCGCACTGCAACACAGTCGCCTCATTTCTATCAAAGAATGGCACGTTAATCATCATTCTTTTCCAAATATAACTTCGGGGTGAAGTTTAAACCTGGGAAGCAGAATGATCTAGCTGACGCGTTGTCACATAGGCCTGATTATGAGCTTGATCATGTTACGGCTATATCTTCGTCGGTCACTGACCGAATTAGTACGGCATATGCCAAAGATTAAAACTTTGTAGCTCTGCTACGCGCTCTTGGGACCGATGAGATTAAGGAATCAGACATATATTCGTGGGCGCGATTAAGTTCGACGCTACATCGATATTTCATCGGTCGAGGCCTGTCGTGCTACAGCACAAAAGTTGAGGATACTTACTCCTCGTATTGTTGTCCCTCATGGTGAGAAATTAAAATATCGGATCCTCTATGAGGAACAACTGATTCTGCTTTGAGCGTTCATCTTGGTCGTGAGAAGACCCATAGCTCTGTAAGCCAAACATATCGGTGTCACAAACTATACACATGGGTGAGCACATATGTGCGTACGTGCGACCGGTCAAAGGGTCTACCCCTTATCCCATTTAGCTGATCCGCTAGCCTTTAGCCTGTACTCAAGGGGTGTTAAGAGTCCATCAGCATGGACTTCTTGTTCGGTTTGCCGAAGGATTTGTATGTCAATATGGGTATTGCGGTCTTTGTTGACCTTTTGAGCAAGATGGCTCATTTAGCGACGGTGCCGGACTCCATCGATGGTGAAGGTACAGCTACGCTGTGTTATGATCGATTGTTTTGACAACACGACTTGCTTGTGTCAATCATCTCTGGCCGAGATCGTCTCTTCACTAGGAAGTTTTGGAAGTACTTATTTAAGGTGCTAAAACCCTATTTAGACATGTCCGTAGCGGATCATCCGCAGACCGATGGTTGAACCGATGGATTCAATCGTGTTATATATGATGTTTTACGGAGTATATACGCCGATATTTCTAATCATTAAAGCTTCATGCTTCCTGTCGTTGAGTTTGCGTTGAACAACGCAGTGCACACCTCCATCGGATACAGACCGTTATACGTGAACGGTCTCACACGCCCTCGCGTTCCGTTAATGCTACCACTCCGTCGTTTAGGGCTTGGTCGAGAAAAAGTTGACAATCGTCTTTGCTGATATCAGCCCTGCTACTGGTCCGAACAGGTAAGCAAGTATCACTCAACGCGATTAAATGTCTTACTACATGTGCGTGACGCACTGGCTGATATCCAATACAAACAAAATTAACAAGCTGATGCTGAAGGTAGTGGATGGATTGAGCGTTATGAGTTCGGATTTTCTAGTCAATGCTGAAACCTTTCTACAAAAATACTGTCCGCTGTCTTCAAGACAAAGTTGCTTCCGCGCTTCGTTGGACCATTCACGGATGTCGCTAAGATGGGACTTGCGTACACGCTTAAACTTCCTCGAAAACACCCTTTGTTGTAAGTTCACTTACTTAATCCGCATCAGGATCCGTCCCACGTGAACTTGGAGGCGCTTGCGTCGTGAGATATGGCCTTGCCACCGGCTACTGAATCCAAACCAGAATGTAAAGTTGAGCTTCCATCCAATTTGAACTTAATTTTAACGACTGAACTCGAGATCGCGTCGCGTCGAGCGCACTCTGGGTCTTACCCAAGGTATCACAGAGACAACGCATCTCGAGAAGCAGCTTCTCATGCTCCTCCCTCGGTAGAACGACCACCACCGATGCTGCTTGATGGTCAATAAACCACCAGTTCCATGTGCAGAGACTTCTGAAACGACGTCGTCGTCATGGACAATACCGGTATCTGGTGAAATGATGTGAGTGTCAGGAGTCGGAAAATTCATGGGAGTTTGAGATACCCTTTCGGCAGGATTGCCCATATGCCTAAAAAATTTAAACATCGCGGCAAAAGTATTTGTAAGACCGATAACGCTTCTCACCAAGAGTGGTGAAAGCAAGTAGGTTGCTGGTCATCGCTTGACCGGCGCTCACAACTTCCGGTACAGCTGGAGCATAGCGGGTGCGAGTTTGCAATTGGCCTCTGGCCATGTGATTGGAATAGTCATACCGAAGCTTTCGTTCTCTACAAACGTCTGCCACATCGGCACTTGCTCTTAAAGCTACCACGCTGCTGATGTGTCGTTTGCTATACACCCAGCGAACAAACGCATTGTCTTCTTCCTTTTGTTAGTCGCCTATTAGGAGGATGGGTATACCCTAAATCGGCGGAGCCAGTGCACCCCGTGCTTGCGTATCAAGTAGCAACTAGTATTGACTTTGAGTCGTCATATGAGGCTTCTGGTACTTCTAGTGAAGTGCCTGTAGACTCGCAACCCCTTCAGGAGACGTGGGTTCAGTTCCAGTGGCTCACGTTGATAACGAACCTGCCGTTTGGCGTATACGTTCTTCCACATTGGATGAAGTGAACACATAGCCACGGCGACTTTTAAGACTTGTAGCAAGCTGCGTATGTTGCCGAGAGGTCTCTTCTTGTTTGGTAGCTAACTAATGTTGCTCATCGAGCAAATTGGTGATGATGGCATCGCCCACGTTGGGTGTTTGATGCTGCGCCGAGGGAGCGTTAACTTCGCTACTTTTGACGAAGGGGTTTGGTGCTGTAAGAGGCTTTGCCTCAAGCACAGATAGATTGGACAGTGTCCCTTCTTTATGGTGAACATTGGTATCTCTACCATAGTCCACCTCCTCCTCGGGGTCGAGATAAGACGAAAGATACCGAGACTCATCGGGTGGCGATGTCATGGTTTGATGCGTTAGATATTGTGAGGTTAATCGCACACACCTTCCTCTTCGAGAAGAGAATTCGATTGGAATTTCGTCTTACGTCAGTCTGGTGGGGGAGGGTGTAGCGGGGTTTACACAACATGTGTGGTTCGCACAAGGGACGAAGTCCCATTAAAAATGATATTAGAACAACATATCCATTGTTGGTGGCCGACGTGTGTCAGCCATCGAATTAAGTGATCTTTTAGGAGGTATGAATCAGATCATCAGTGTCCGGATTAAGTACGTTCGTCTGAGGTGTTCTTTTCGATAAAAAAAAGAAATAAAGTTCAGTTCCCATTTTGATCTGTAAAGACACGTGCCTCCCTGAGACGTCTTGTGATCTTTGAAGACTTTAGCAACGCCTTGTAAGAAGTAGCTTTTCTTGAGCAATCTGTGCTGTAATTCTTTGAAATTTGGTCCCTGGAACAGGTACCGTAAGCTCCTCGAGCTCGTTGACTCTCTATGTCTGGTTCTTTGAACTAAAGTTGCTCGTAAAGCGTTAAAGTGTTCCTCTGACTTAAAGAGTTGTGTAGTTCCGCTACAATAACTGGTAGCCACTGCGATTTGTTCTATGGTGGCTGTTGTTACCAGGCATATATGGCTGCAGCGGCTGAGAGTAAGCAGAAAGGCGTACCAGGAAGAACTCGAGGCCAGCGAAACACATTACCAGTTCATGCTCTAACCTCTAGCCTTTTGGCAAGAACTCTTCTTTTGTCGTCAGGCTCGTCTATACAACCGTAATTACGTGATCGAAGGTGCCCAGAGAAATCGATCACGCCACCGAATATATAAGAGCGCTTGTCATAAGAAACGACGGACAGATGCGGAATGACCAGCAGATAGGAGCCAAGACGTAAGATTTAGGCATAAATTCGTTGAATCGTATCTCGTTCCTTCAATGTGTAGACAATGTAGGTCGTACATAGTAACAGTTTGATAATAATACCTACCAGGTGTGCAAAAAAGCCAGACAATTATACTTAGACTGCTGCTACAATGCAAAAGCCATCGAAAGACACATATCTGCAGACTTCATGTCGACTAGACGTGCAGAGTGAATATCAGTCGTAGCAATTTATTGCGCGTAGCCCGGTCAAAGCTCGACACATGTTTTGAAATTAGCACGACAAGTAGTCTGATAGCTCGATCCTCCATACCGTCAACGGAAATGAGCGACGTCAAGGATTCCACCACTTCCTCAGACGCAAAATAAGTTCCAAAGTCAATCATCACTCGCACTGTGTCGTCATCGGTAAATATAAAGCGACCATCGGCGACATACACATCAATATAAGTAAACCACTGAATCAGCTTGTACAGGAGAAACTGCTGCTTCTCTTCAGGGCTGACTTCTTGAGGCATATGGCGTCTCGCGGCAAACACTAGCCTTTCATAGACATCGTAAGGACGCATGTCCGACCCCAACCACAGAAGGAGCATCGTATCAACGGTCTCTGGGTATGCCAAGAGCATTAATTCTTGTAATGTGTCAGCCATGCTCACACTGTTAAGAAGTCCGCTCTCCTCACGCAGCCAATGAAGAAATAGCACCACCTCTTCTTGTCCCCTCTTTTCCACCAACAGAAAAAGTACATGGTTCGCTAGGTAGAGTTTTTGCTCCGAATTGAACTCACGCACGTAGTAAAGCCACAGTACAATCTCCTGAAACACGATATACCACTTCGCCGCACTCTCGCTTGGAATAAGTCGCTTTTCCAATCCGATACGCATCATGTCGTAGACTTCGTCAGGTCGAAGGTTATCTTCACGCCACTTTATAAAGTCTGGCTTCAAAAGTTTCAGCTTTGCCTTCCTTAGCTCTCTCTTCAGAAGTGAAGCGCGGTCATGTTCGTCGGGTACCTTAGCAAAAGCTAAGAGAAGCGACACCAGCTTTTCTTCGTCTTTGACGGTGTCCATCAGCTGAATGACCGAATTCTTGTAGACACGGTCCGTGTTGTACTTTTTCCCGAACGCGTCATCGTACTTGATCCACCGCGCAAAGTCCGCCATCACTTGCTCCTCCTGCGCTTCCTGAGCATTGATTCCCGCAAAGAAGTGTGATGGATGCAGATGATCCAGAAATACTTTCGAGTTTTCCAGCTCGAGGAGCGCCTTGGACAGAGCTTCCTCGTCAAAGAAACCAACCCTCTCCTCGTCGTTTGGCTGGTTGAGGTCGATCACGTTCACTGCGGAGTCGTATGGCTCCAGCAGACTCGGTGCGATGGACGACGCGTTCGTCTTTACACGAGGAAAAGCAGTGGGCAACTTGAAGGCGTCGTCCGTTCGGTCACTGCTCGTGGGCGAAGAGTCGGTAGTTCTCCACAGACCAATGACAAGGCACGTGGCCAAACTACAGAGCAAGTGCATGCTTGTGTCGGGTAGCTGCCCGACACTGCGCGGAATGGGAACTGTCGTTTGCACACAACGTGGCCGCAGCGTGCGGACCACCCAAGTAGCGGCCTGCTCAGAGCCCGGGAGATCTGGTCCCTGTAGCAACGTCAGCTCCTAGACCAGGTCTCTGTACCTGGCTCTTAGTCAGAGAATGGACACTGCACTATCGAATGAACAAAAGGGGGCCTGGCGTCAGCATTTTGCTTTCATGTTCACTTCAATTACATACCGATCGCTGCACGTGTGTGTCCGGTTATCGAATCGGTGAACGGTCAGCTCTTGCTAAAGCTGCAAGATGGCAAACACCGAACGGCGGCAGTTTGTCGCGAGAGAAACGACGACCGCGTCTTTCCATGCCTGTTATTGTTCGCCACCTAGTCACCATCGTAAGATTTGTGGGACAATGCACCCAGCAAGACAAGACAAGACAAGACAAGACAAGCGAGGTACAGGACTGGTCGTGATGCAGCTGAGGTGCACGAACAACAAAGAGGCAAACGCAAGTCATCAGCATCGAAGAACGTTGCATTATGTAGAGTAATTGCAGGTTGATTGAGGCACATCGATCCGAGCCAAAGCGTTTTGCGCAGTAGTCATGGGTTCTGAACAGCTTCGGCCTCGTATACTAAGCTTCCTCGACGGCGCACAGTGGTGCTGGCTTGCAAACTCGCGCGTCAAGCACACTGGTCTTTTTTTGTGCTGCTGGCCCTCGAGTCCAGTACATCTTGAGTGAAGTCCAAGCTCTTGCGCCTGGTGCCGGGTAGCTGATCGCCAGAAGTTGGACCATGTACTGATACTGTCCGAATCTGCTGGATACAAACCCAGTGGCTGGTGCTTGTCATGTGCGGGTTGGTGGACAAGCCCCGCTGTACACAGTTCATGAACACAGGTAGAACGAGGTCGTAGGCTGGCTGTTCAGGAGCACATGACCCACTGCACATTGTCCCCGTTTGAGCAAAACGTTAGCTTGATATTGAAGCGTACTGGACAAATCGTTTGGACACCACCGAGTCATGCGTTGGACCAGAAGCAGTTGCGCCTTCAAGCTCATTTTGGTCAGGTACCGACTGTCAACGAAAGCCTCTTCTACTGTCTCATAAAGCGTCTCGCTGATGCATTTTGTACCGTCGTGATTGCTACACGTGATTTGAGCGTCATATCCTCGGCCAAAGATACCAACAGTGTCCGACACTGGGCCGTGATAATGATCCGTATATGACTTCTGCTACGACGCTACAACGCGTCGCAAGTGCTGCTACTCAAACTCTACAACGCAGTGTTTTCGTTCTTGGTACCAACAGGCAACCAACCTCTGTCGCACCGATCCCTACGCGCGGCAGTTATCAATGTTGAAGATCATGATGTCCGTCGCGCCGACGTCGTGCAGCTTGTCCATGACTTCGGACACATCCTTGACCTCAACCGCTGCCGACACAGCAAAACCTCCACCCACGAGTCCATTCACCGTCGGCGATCGTCGTCCCGGTGTGATCTTCGACGCGGCCTCAAGCTTCTCCTTGTCCACATTGTACGTCACCATCTTGTACTTGGTCGCCGTGATGTAACCTAGAATCCGCTGGTGCACGAGGTGCACGAGCTCTTTGTGCAGGGAATGGGGGTTGGCAATCAGCACTGCCTCTGAGTTCAAAATGGTCGAAATGAGTTCCAGACCCGCTGCTTTCATCGTCGTCCCGGTCTCGACCAAGTCGACAACCCCATCCGCCAAGCCAAGCGAGCACGCAGCTTCGACCGAGCCCGAGACGTACTTGATCTTGGTCGCACCGGTCTCTGCAGTCTCCAAGTGCTTGAAATAGTCCCGCGTGACTTCTGGAAACGATGTGACAATGCGCTTGCCCGCCAACTGGGCCGGCGACGTCACGCCGTCCTTCACGGGCGTCTGGACACCGAGCTTACAGCGTCCAAATCCCAGCTGCAACAGCTCTTCCACTTCTGTCTTGCTCTCGGCGATAATGTCTTGGCCAGTTATGCCCAAGTCCAGATTGCCCTGGCCAACGTACGTCGCAATGTCCGCTGCTGGCAAGAACACGAGCGTGACCGGGAGACTCGAGCACAGCGCAATGTCCACGCGATTCGGACGGTGGTAGTCCAGTCCAGCGCCTTGGAGCAGCTTGAGGATCTTGTCGTGCAGTCGCCCTTTCTTGGGCACAGCAAAGAGCAGTCGCGGCTCACACGGCGACGTGGGCGACATCGCGGCCGCGGGACTTCGGAAATGGACGGCGCTCGTTGTGGTGGAGCTGGAGTGGCTGTGGTGGCGAGTGACGGGTGGCACTAAAGCGAGTAGTGAATGGACCGACGGATTCGCGTAAGATATATCTATGGATATCTATCCATTAATATCTTACCCAAACCTGTATCCATCGAGTTGTGGGAGGGCTGCACGAGGATTGCGTAAACGCACAAACACCTTCACACGCACACACACTCCCACACACACACACCTGTGATTGGGTTTGTGCGTTTGCGCAATCCTCAGGCGGGTCCGGGAAACTGTTTGAACCTTGAGGAGCAAAAACAAGGGACAACCGAATAGGAATTAAAAATAAACGAATAAAGTGGAGTAAACAATAAGATACAAACACAATCCATGCAAATATGCGTTATGGATACATTTTACATACTCTCCAGCCACACGTCACACAAGAGCGAGCGAGCAAAGCGGGATGGACGAGAGCGAGTTCTTACGACTGCTCGAGCGCTACCCACAAGTGCGCAAGAAGACGCATTGCCGTGTGCAATGGAACGATATGGTGTGTGTGTGTAGCTGTGGCTGTAGCTGTAGCTGTTGTGGTTCCCACAAGTTTTGGTTTGGGCTGTTGCCGTGGAGTAGGGACCTCACAAATGGTTCGCTCGCGCTGCGCTTGTTTCGTGTCGTGTCTAGTACGCTCAGGAGTCTGGGTCAAAGGAGTCAGTGCAGGGATCGGGGACGTTCATGCTGCCAGGTCAAGATCGTGTTATCAAGGACACAGACTCGGTGGAAGACGCGCTGGAGAAGTTCCTGGCGCCGTGTTTCTCGTCCCAAGAGGTGGCAAAGATCCAGCACGAGCTGGAAAAGGTACGGTCTTGACGGTGACGAAGAGCAGGAGTGGGAACGGGCGTGGCTGACGCACGGTAGATGGATGATGGGACTGAGGGCGACTGTCGTGCGGTGATGCTGATGGTGATGCTGATGGTGGTGTCGTGGTGGTGTTGCTGCAGACTTTGGGAGCTTTTGTAGCGAGTTTGTGTCTCGAAGACGTGAACGATCTGTGCGCGCAGTTTGTTACGACCAAGTGACGTGATTTCTTGCATGCTAAACACGACGACGAGATGCAGTTGAGACTGATGTACGCGTCGTGGCTCAGTCGACAACGTGTCGATTGCAATGCACGTTGCAATGTGTGTCGCCTATGCATGCAGTTGTTGCGAGAGTTGGTGTCGCTGTACGAGGGAACAAAAGCGATCAGAGAAATACGATGTAGATATGCAGCACATGTATACGCGCAAGCTCAGACGGACCTGGAAAAAGCTGCGCGTCTGTTCTGGATCCAGGAATGGCGAGGTGCTCCACGAGATGATAAGGGTGCGCAACTGGTCCGTGGACGTATCGAACGTAATGAGATGCAGCAGGGCTTCCTACATCAAGCACGGTATCCGTTAGTCTGCCAAAAAGCAGTTGCCCAAGCGGGTATGTGAATGAACGCACGATATGCTGGTACTCTGCTTCAAACGTTGCCAGCTCCTGGCTCATCATTTGCAAGTAGTCCACGGGTCTCAACGCAGTCGCATTAACTGGCACTTGATTGTCGTCGTCGTCGCTGCTGCCCCGTACTTCAACGCAAGCACAAACGTCAGTAGTGCACGCGTCATCATCCTCAATCAAGAAACAGTAGTCCTGCGCCAGCTACACCCACCCAAGTCGCTCGCCTGAGCTTCCAGCGTGTACATCTCCTCCAAGAGTACTTCAAAGCCACTCGACAGCTCCTGGACTTGTTGGTACAGATCTTCTGCCAGCCACGGATCCATCACCACATTACCAGCCAGTCCAGCCAGCACTTGCGGACCCTTTTTGTCCTTGTCACCATCTTGTGGCATTGCTTGGGCGTCTCGCACGGCCAGCAGTGCCGATTGAAACCCCTCGAGCCGCACGAGCCCTTCGCGTTCCCGACGGTACCATACCGCGCCCTTTTCCTGCAGTGCAGTAAAGAGCCCTACGATCGCCATCATGCGGTCATTCTTCCTGCCGCCTGACGCTTCCTTCGATCCGGGAGCGCCTCTTGAGCTCGAGGCTTTCTTGCTCGTCTTCTTTGCCATGAAAAGGCTCGGAACTCACACAGTGTTTCGACGACGGCTCGAACGCACCCCTGACTAATGAATCGGACTGACAACCTAAACGGCTGCTGCAGACCATTTCGGTTTCGACTAACTTAAATCAAACCAATGACAGCCCGATCGACATGCCACCCATCGACCTTATGCCATCCGCCAATCCTGCCACAAGCCGTTTTCGTCCCCACCCATGCCGCTTAAGTCGTCCCTTATCCACGATTTCTATCCAGCTCACCTCCGCCGTTGGTTTCGACCACAAAAATGCGTCTCCGGCTGCTACGCGTCACGTGTCTTGGCGCCGCACTCGCTCTCGTCTCGAGCTCCAGCGCTGTATACGCAGACACAGAGGCCGCAACTGCCCCCACAGCAGCTTCGAACGTCAAGGCGCGTGATCAGGACCCGGTGATCCAAGAGGTCCGCGGGCTCCGCAATGCCGGGATGAAGCTCAACGACCTCAAGGACTTTCGAGGAGCTACGGAGAAACTGCGGGGCGCCATCACGTTGCTGCACCATCGCGTGTTTGGCGAAGGCCGTCACGACGTGACCGATGCGCAGGATACGGCGCAAGACGCTGCGCTGTACTCGCAGGTCCTGAACGACTACGGGTCCATGTTGATCCGCGCCGAAGAGTACGACGAAGCCATTGACGTGCTGGAAGACGCCGTGGCGATGGTGCAGAAGATCTATGGCGACAGTCACCCGTCGCTCGGGCTGTCGCTGCGCAGTCTCGCGGACGCTTACATGGCCAAGAAGCAGTACCGAAAGGCCATTAGCAAGTACAAGACGCTTCGGAAACACGTGACACGAGGACTGGGCGTGACGCACGAAGCGTACATTGAAGCGTCGCTGCGGATTGCCGAAGGGTACAAGAAACTGGGCAAGAAGAGGACAAACTTGAAGGTGCTGCGGAATGCCATGACGGCCCAGGGCAAAGAGATTAATGGACTCACGACGGGCATTGCCGAGCTCTACATGGAATTGTCAACGGCGCATGTGGCAGTGAATGAGCTTGATGAAGCGCAGCGAGCAGCAGAGATGGCGAGCGCGGTCTTTCGGGAGCGCGATGGCGACGACTCGCTGTCGTATGCGTTCAGTTTGAACGCGCTGGCTGGTGTCAAGATGCGGCAGCAAAAGGTGGACGAGGCCATCAAGTTGCTGGAGCATGCACACAGGATCGCAGTTGGCCTCTACGGCGAAGATGACACGATTACGAAAGATAGCGCCAGAACGCTGAAGGAGGTGAAAAAGCACAAGCTGGATTTGCAGGCGGAAGAGGATGGGAAAGACGAGCTCTAGAGCAGCAGATGAGGGAGCGCGTGTGGTGCACTGATTGGGATCGAGCGTCCAGCGTGATGCGTAGCTTGGTAAGATGGACACTGACAGCGAGCGAGGTCAGGTGGTGGATGTTGTCATGCGCCATGGAACACGATGGACAGCAGTGAAGGACGTGTGTGCTATCATCGAAGCGCACAGAGTAAGAAGCACTACCTGTACCTGCTGCGACAAGAGTAAAAGTGTGTTACATTGACATTCCACTGCGACACTGAAGCAATAGCAGCGTTAGGCATCGACTCGTGCTGCCGGAAGCGCATTAGACGGTAGGGCACAATGTATGGAGCACCTCCTTTGTCGTCGATAGCCACGCGAGCTGAGCTGCGCTAGAAAGCGTCAGGCAAACACTATTGTGGGCAAGAAAAGCATGTTGCCATCGCTATAGCCTACGGACATCATACGGACATCAATTGGATACTAATGTGAACTTACTGTGTGCCCTCAACGGGTGATGCAGTCGGTACATTTCTCAGCTTCAACTCGAAGCATACAGAGATCAAGACGATCGATCTTCGAATCAGTCATTGAGCTCGTGAGAGTGTAGCCATCGTAGATAGATGGCCTCTCGACCACCCAATCTCAGAACCCGAGTCCCCCACTGAGCCACCGCATGGCGCGCATCACGAGAGTAGTCGGTGCGGCGCTCGTCTTGACAACAGCCGTCGTCGCGACCTCTGCCTCGACGCACAAGACAGCAGACGACGAGTTGATCTTGGGTCTGTTCACGCCAAACTGCTTCGAGGCGTTCGTGACGCACTACGACTTTGCCAATGGCGCGTGCATCAAAGCGGTGGTCAGCAAAGCGCTGAGCTATGCCATCATCACGGGCAGTGTGATCCTGAAGCTGCCGCAGATTCTCAAGATCGTGGCGGCCAAAGACGTCACGGGCCTCACGCCAAGTGCCTTCTACATGGAGGTAGTGCTCTACCTGTCCAGTACCATTTACAACCTCTTGCGGGGTTATCCCTTGTCCACCTGGGGCGAGAACCTCGTGATCCTGGCTCAAAACATCGCCCTGGTGCTGCTGCTCTGGACGTTCTACAAGCCGACGATCCCCACGACTACGCGCTTTGTCCTCGTGTTGGTCTTCGCTGCGATGGCGGCGTCTATGCTCTCAATCCCGGAAGAGTTCCAGTGGCTATTGGCGTCTGCGGGGATCCCCGTGAGTATCGTCGCTCGCATTCCGCAGGTAACAATTGTATGAGAACGATCAGCATTGCTGCCACGTGATGGCAGGAAACAACGCAGGAACTGACGGCGCTATTGCAGATTCTGTCCAATTTTAGACAAGGCCACACGGGCCAGTTGGCGATCATCACCTTGGTGCTCAACTTGGCCGGATCGGTCGCACGCTTGTTCACGACGCTGCAGGAAACGGGCGATCCCGTGCAGGTTGCAGGCTTTGGCGTGGGCATTTTACTGAACGGGACGCTGGTGCTGCAGGTACTGGTGCTCTGGGGAGCGACAAATAAGGTGCTGGCGCAGGCGTCCAAGAGGAAGGCCGAGTAGTTGCATCGTGGAAGGCTCGGGAGTCTTGACGGCAAGACGACAGCGATCTGGTCCAGCCATGCGAAAGACAATCGTGACAAGATAGCTCCAAGTCGCTGCTGTTACCGGATCTGCTCGTGTTACTGACAGTCAACCACTCCATTCCTTAGCAATCATCTTGTAGCTCCTTTATACGCCAACAGGGGACAACACGGATCACTGTTTGTGCGGTTGCCGAGTTGGCAAATGGCAGTGCTAGTAACGCCAAGAAAATGCCAACAAGCGCAACGTGACGTCAATTGACCTCTAGATCACGTGAACTGAACGTCGAATGGAAGTTGGATGAGGTAGTGGCCAACCGGGTGTTGTCATCATGCGCAGTTGACTACGGAGTTGCCGCAGACTTTTACGTCCATTCATTGAGTGGTGCCTCAAGTGCATTTACAACATCAGGGTGATGCTGAACCTGGTCATCAGAGGTCTGTAGGAAGGGACAGCACCGCATCCATGACCAGCGTGTCCACACTACGACGTCTGCCCACATCAAGTGTATTCTGAGAGCACTATGTGTGGACGGACAGTGCGGAGCACGATTGGTGGTGGTCCTGGCTCACTTTGCCGGGTTGGTCCTGTTGCTGCGTTCGGGTTTGACAAACGTGCAACGCCTTGCTGTCGACCCGGTTCAATCTCGTGCTCCATTTGCGGCTGCGGCAAGGCACTGTTAACATCTCAGCAAAGTCGGAAGGCTGCTACCATTTGCATCGTGGTGGTTGTGTGCATGGCAGCTTGTACTCTCCATGCCGGCAAACTTGACAACGACGACGGATCCATTGTAGGCGTGGCGTGGATCAAAAGTCGTACCGTGCCAACCTCAAAACTTGACCCAGAGCCGCAGGGGTCCAACTGACTAGTTATGCTTCACTTGACCTCTACGTCCGTGACGCTGAACCGTTGCAGCTCCATCGAGGTTACTTTACAGCCGTAATCAAGCGACACAAGCAGGTTGCATCCCGATCGATCGTGCGCTTAATGCTGCTGCATCTCTCTCGTGTCGTGATAAGTGCAAGAGCTCCTCCCCTTCGTTTGCAAAGAAAGATCCGCGGCTACAAAGTCATCGTCCTTTTTGTGCGCATCCATTGACTCACGCTGCCGCTGCTTTCTCCGCTGTCAGCTCGTTGTTCGGTAACGAACCATGTTGTCGACCATCCTTCTCCTCAGGCGTCTTGTGTAGCAGCACACGATCGTTGCCCTGATCAGCCTTTTCCTCTGCCTCTCGCTTCCGCTTGTCTATCTTTTGTTGCTGTGCACTCACTCGTTTCTTGGGTTTCGGCTGGTTGAAGATTGGCGGGAAATCGAGCGCGTTCAAGAACGTAATCGTCTTAGGAGCATCGAGTTTGCTGTAATACCGCACCATTCGGCCACTTGACGGTGCTTTCGGCGCAGCGCTCTCCGCCTTCTTCTCTTCTTCCAGCTGCTCCAGGCGCTGGAGCGACTGCGTGTTCTCCACCTCCGTCCGCACTGCTTCTGCTAACAGTTGTGCCTGGGTCAACCGACTGCCAACCTTCTCGACCGTCACTTTCTTGTGCTTGGCAGCCAACTCGGCCGCTTTATGCGACGCTTGTCGTCTCATCTCGGACGACTCAGACGACTTTTTCACTGTAGACGAGCGAACTGTTGGAGCCACGTACTGATATAGTGGCGTCAAGGACGTAACAGGAGCTCCAGGAGCTTCTGGAGCTTTGACATTGTTTTCAGGTCCTTTCCGCTTCACGACTCGATGCATAAGGGGCTCTTTGTATCGTCCAGAACTTGTCTCCGAGCGTTTGCGTCTTGTAGTACCCTTTTCGTCATTGTCATCGTCGTCATGAACGTCGGTATCCGGTTGTTCTTCTTGGTCAAAGTCCGAGTCGACGATATCCTCTTCCTCTATCGAGTGCAAAATAGAGGAATACAGACCAATAGAGTCAATAAACACCTTTCAAATACGACCACAATATAGAGCAGCGACGATAGGGGTCTGTAACATTGACGACACAAACCCAGGAGACGAAGGGTACCTGCTTCAGTGGAATAGTCCTCGTCTTCACCGTCTTCGTGCCATGCCGAGTGACCCCAGAACGACGCATCAATTTCTGCTTCTTCGCCGATGAGTTTGTGGATACGCGTGCCGCGAGACGAACGAGCGGGAAGGACTTTGCGCGGTGCGACATCGCTGCGAGCACGGGACGCCATAAGTGCTGCAAATACGGAAGATCGATTGAGGTTGATGCGGCGACTTTATTCGGTTTGCATCACCCACCTACGTTGCATGTGGGTGAATGAGAAAGTAGAAGATTCACCCACTCCGCGCGATTGGGTGGTCCAAGCTCGCTTTCTGAGCTGGACGAGAATTTGGGTGGAAAGGTTGTCAGCAACGTATACGTATACGAGTAGTCAGTCATCCACGTGCTCAAATGCTCCCGATAGCATTTCGTTCTTAGACGCTGTTGCTGCGCTCGTTTCGACGAAAATCTGCAGGGCACTGCCGGACGGTCTTTCTGCACTAGCAACTCCTTCATTGTGTCGGCCCATGGGCGTACATATACCAGCAGCGCCAAAGCAGCGAATGGATCACCACGAACAAGAAGGCTCAGCAAGGACGCTTGGAGACTTACACGATCATGGAAAAGTCGTGGACGTCGCCACTTCATTGTCCATCTTGCAAGACGTGTCTCGGCCACTCAGTAGCACTCTTGTTGCAAGTGCACTCGAGCCATCGAGAGAGTGATCCTGGAAAGACTTGACGTGACCAACCGACCGCTTTCGCACTTGCTCCCATTGCTACAGCTCCGTCCTGCAATCGTTGCGCAAGACCGTCTTCTCTTCGATCGAGTAAAGCGCGACAGAAGGCCGGCGGGCGACACTGACGCTCGCTCTCCCAATCGCGACGCAATCTCGGAGTGGCCGCAAAGTCGTACGCACCACGTACGACCGACTCCTGTCTTGCCCGAAAGGGGCATCTGTCTCGCCTGAACTCGCGGTAGGTCGTCCCACACTTGGCCGAATACACGGGGAAGTCCCTCCGTTCATCACAATGCTATCACTGCAACACACTATCACTGCAAGCAGAACTGGTAGTTGATAACCACTTCGACCGACACACTTTGTCTTGTCACAGTTTAGCACGACCACAACAAACAATCGTTACGGCTGACATGTCCTGCAGTAAGCTGAAAACCTGTTTGCATGTCGCTCCTCGCTCGTTGCAAGTTGTTTATCGATTGCCGGCATAGCTGATACTTTTACTTCTACTACTCCTGCGACGACTTCCACTGCTCAAGAGCTCTTCCGAACTCATGTCCATGCGTCCAATAATTACTCGTTCACCTGTTGCTGCATTGACTCTGTGGAAGTGGTACTGACGTACTGAACGATTCAGAAGACGTGCAAAAAGGACGAGCGAGACGCTGTAGAACGAAAGCTCTAGCGTCATAATTGACAAACTTGAGCGCGTCTTCACACACACAGAGAGATACACAGATACACGCAGAGAGGTAGTCAGACGTCAAGCTCAGTTCATGGAGCAATGGGTCGCAGGGTGCTCTTCCAGCAGCACCTCTACCAAAAGACCGCAGCAGCTCCGTCGACTGTCCTCGCGTCGGGTCAATATGATGAAAACGGTGTGGACGACAGTCATGTTCTTGCCGATACAACGAGCGATCGGACAGACCTGTGGACTGCCAATGTCCACGTTGTCGACAAACTGCAACGACCTGTGCCCACAGTACGAGCCGTGCGTGGTGTACGCGGCCTCGGCATGTCCTCAAGGCGCTTCCTGTGCCGCAAGCAACCAGTGCGAGATTCAGTGTTTCTCGTCGAGTATGCTGAACGACACGGCCACGTTCACGTTTTCAATCGGGTTTGGCCAGGCAAGCGACAGCAGTGGGCAGCGAAAAACGACACGAACAGAAAAGCGCAAGTCGTTGGTTGAGAACGAAGCGGATGGACTTTTGGAGGAGAAGGTCAGGTCCGCGACAGCCGACAACGAGGCCGTCTCGAGTCTCGGCACGATCGATCTTCAGCCTACGGTGACCTCCTTGTCAGTCCGTGGAGTCACGCTCAGATGGTGGGAATGTCGTGGCTGATGATGGCGCTGTATTGTTGTTGTTGTTGTTTCGATGTCAAGTGTACTAGTTGGCGGATCAAGCACTGCGTCTTCGGTGAAGAGTAAGGTAGCCAAGGTGACCTTCGGCTCTGACGTGATCTCTTCACAAACGCTCGTGACGAACGTGGTGCTAAGGAACTTGGACCTTACAACTCCGACGACGCTTCAGCAGCTACCGATTGTGCTGCCGCCGTCATTGCAAAAGTTGGATCTGACCAACACGCGGCTGACGTCATTTCCAACACTGGTCGCAAACTTCACGAGTCTTCACGACCTGTACGTAGTTTCTTGCCGACATTTGCGAACGAAACTCCCACGAACTAACTTTGTACGTTTTCAATAGCAATCTCGACATGAACTCCATCCCGGAAGTCGCTGCGACGGCAGCTCTCAATTCTCTCGTTCGTCTGTACGTATCATCGTCTACAGTCATTGAATGTCCGATACCACTCATTGATTACGTTGGCCGTGTCTGCTGTATGAACAGGAGTTTGCAGAACAATCACCTCAACAGTTTCCGTGCTGTCTTCCCCAACCTCGTCATCCTGGACCTGACGAACAACTACTTCACCGACACTCCTCCTAGCATCTACATCCACTACAGTCTGAAGGAGCTGCGGATGAAGGGCAATCCGCTCATCAGGCCGTGGTTCACACAGCAGCAACTCGACTTTCTGAGCAGGCTCAAGGTTTTCGATCTCGAGAACAAAGACTTTACGAACTCTATCGACAGCTGCAGAGCTGAGCACCAGCGCAAAGTGCATGCTTTGACTGTGTGTGTCTCGGACAGTACCGACGAAGGCGAAGAGAATGATGACATCAACGAAGCCAGTACGGCCACTCCTTCGTCTACAGCTTCGGACGTGTCGACTATCGTGGGTGTCCTCGTGGGTAGCACATTTATCATTGGTGTCATGGGGTTTGCCACAAAGTGGCTATACGGGAGACGCGTGCCGCACGTTTCGGACCGTCACTCGAAGATTGTCCGCGAGTCTTACTTTGGCGGCTTGTCACCACCTCTTGCACGATCTCCTGCTGACAAGGGCTACCGTGGTGGCCGCCGTACGCCTTCGAGTGGAGGGCCACGATTTTGTCCGAGTGGCTACGAGACGGATGACAACCACATCGTGTCTCGACTCTCGACTCACAGTGCACATAGCACCGCTAGCTCGACGACTGCTTATTCACTGTGGAACGATCAAGAACTGCTCTCGTTGCAGGTGAAGTGTGACGAGATCGAAGACGTTGGCACTATCGGCAGCGGATCTTTCGGTATCATTTGGCTTGTCAAGTATCGAGGGTCTCAGCTCTTGGCCTCCAAGCGACTTCGATCGGATCAGGTCAATAAGCACCGCACGAAGGCATTTATCGAAGAGATCAAGATGGTCGCTCCTTTCGATCACCCGAACGTTGTCCGCTTTATCGGATGTGCCTGGACCATTGAGACGGACTTGCAAGCGCTGTTTGAGTACATGGAAAATGGCGATCTGCGTGATTATCTGGTAGATTCGAGTTCACCGCGTCACTGGAGCCAAGAGCTATTGCAACTGACCCTGGATATCATTGAGGCGCTTGTGTACGTGCACTCGTTCACACCGCCGTTGGTGCACCGCGATCTGAAGTCCCGGAACATTATGCTGTCAAGCGAGTTCAAAGCGAAGGTGGCCGATTTCGGGGCGTCCAGGTACAAGTCGGTCGATGAAACAATGACCGCAGCGGTCGGAACGGGTCGGTGGCTCGCGCCCGAGGTCATTGCAGGCAGCACCAAGTACGATCAATCCGTCGACGTCTTTTCGTTTGGCGTGGTGCTTTCTGAAATGGACACGCACACGATCCCGTACGACGACGCTCGCAGTGCGAATGGGAATCGCTTGAACGACATTGCGATTCTCCAGCTCGTAGCGACGGGTCAATTGCGGCCTAAATTTGGTGCAAGTTGTCCACCAGAGATGCGCGCCCTGGCCAATCGGTGTCTCGACCAAGACCCTCAAAAGCGTCCGCCGGCTTACGTTGTAGCATACGAGCTACGCAACATTCAACGCTCACATTACGCGCTACTCTGAGTCAAACAGCTCGCGCGCATCTCACATTGTCGCCCGACGTGATCCCGTGTAGACCTTATGCGTATATTATTCAAGTTCCTAAGGGTAAAAGCCAAGGACGAAGTGGTGGAGCGATGCACAACGGACGTTGTCGGTACATTGGCTTCCGTACCAATACCGTTGAGTGTATCGAGATAGATAGATGAGCAAAGGTGAACACACTGCAGCTCTGCTCTCGACGAAGGCAGTACAAAGAATCCAAAGTGATTATTTCAATCGATGGTAAGTCGGTGAAAACACGGTCGGGATACACCGAAGGAGCTCGTTTGGCTTGCTGCAGATGTTGCAGTGGTAAAGGTACTGCGATGATGAGTACGGTTGCAATCGCTTTTTCACATCGAGAGTAACTAGCAGACACGAGACCTGACCCCAGCGACATCGTAGTTCACCTTTTTACCAGCAATGGGTGGAGGGAGACTGTACCGGTGCAAGCTTTGGTCGGCGTTATTGCGAAGCCCAAACAGCGGGCTACCCTCGCATTCCGTAGCCTGTTGCATGGCACTAGAGCTTACCTTGCCAGCACTATGTCGTTGTTCATCATCATCTCAGGCGATTTAGTTCCGTGTCTACATTGTAGTCAGAATTCGCACGCACCGATGGTAGGCGCTTGGTCATTCCTGAAATGTACGACGCAATAGACAGATAGCGAAGATCCAGCCACAGATCGTTAAGCTTCTTGCTCGAGCCTTTCCATCGAGTTGGTAGCGGCAAAGTACAACAGCTATCACGAGAAGCATCGGGCAAGTTCACCGAGGACGATCGATCGATCTATCTATCTATCGATCTATCTATCTATCTATCTATCTATCTATCTATCTATCTATCTATCTATCTATCTACCAGTCTGCTATTCTATCACCTTTATTTAGTGTCGGCAACATGAGGTGAAGTCCATCTAACACTACTGCTGTCCTCCTACTGCGTTTACACCAGTAAGTCATGGCGAACTCGACGAGCACTCAACCACGATATAGCCGTCGAAGTGCTTACCATACTCGGTACGTCGTCACTGCACAGCCAGTTGAGAATCTCGATCCGCTTTCTCGCCACGTCAAGGAGGATCAAAGCCAATACAAAACGAAGAGCTCATTGCCTAGCAAGTGTCAGGAGATCTATATCGACGGCATGAAGTTGGAGTGTGCAAGTCTTCTGGCAAGCGACACACCTAAAGAGAATCCATACAACACCTCTAGTCAGCGGGGACGTCGACTGCGTGCATTAGCATCATAGATGACATACACACTGGTATTGCTGCGTTCTAGACGCGGTACCGACATACGCGTGTATGGGCCGGTGAATGCAAGGTGTCGTACCGCGATCGTCTTTGTGTCCACGACTCAGCGACGTAACGACTCTTCGCAAATGTCACCAATATGGAGCACCGGCTGATGTTTACTAGATCGACAATGTGTAGCATTAGTTGTGGAGCTTTGCACGAAGGAAGAAGAGCATGACTATGGCCACCCACGAAAAGCTTGTGCGAGACGGCGATGTCGTTCCCGACAAAGTAACAATCGATATCGTGTCCAGGTTCAGCTAATCACCAGTATGTCGTTTGCGTTCCCAAGCTGCGTGGCGCCATAGATGCTACTCGTCTTCAGGTATAGCTACCATGCACTCTGGCTTCGAGTATTCGCTACGAGTGGATCTCCTTCGTTTCAGACGCACCGCTCGCACAGACTGTCACTATCTGGTCGTCGTTGAAGTCGATCGCTGTTTTTGATACTTTTGTTGTAAAGCCTATTCTGTGCTCGATCCGTTCCTGTTGAAGTACAACGTCGTGCTCATCTACTGGCGAAGATCCGCTGTTGTTGGTTTGTCCGAAGAAGAAGAAGAAGAAGAAGAAGCAGTAGCGGCTACATGCTGGCTGCGATTCAGCCTTTACGTCTAGCGCTGGTTCGATATGTCGTGGCTTGTACTGTAAAAAGCTAAGTCTTCTTCAGGACGACAACTGTAGCGATGGAACATGATCGAGATCGAAGGGCTCACCTCACTTGCCGCAGTAGCTGCTGTCGTAAGATTTACGTTTCAGTCTCACTGTTCACTGTAGTTCGTGTCAAGCGTCCTCCCTTTTCAGATAGGGCCCCAAAGAGAAGAACATCGCAAGCTTTGAAGTAAGTCGAGTACGTACTTGGAACAACGACCAATGTCGCGAGTGGCACCGCTTCTTTCGGAACGAGTTCGATGTATCCACTCGCAATCGTTTGCACGAACAAGCTTGCTCCAAGATGTTCATTTCGTCGCAACCGTTGGTAGCGGCTCGACGCGTAACGAGCTTAGCGACAAAACGAGGATCCGCCGAAAGATTGATGGCAAGAATGCATTGATTTGCTGCTGCGCAACAACGCTGTGGGCGGAAGGGAAGAACGGTGGACGGGAGGGAAGGAGAAAGCTTGTTGCGATGTGATGATCATACGGACGAGCAAACTGTCCGTAGGGGTTCGAGCTCAACGCGTCAAATACGGTAGTTGATGCAACGAATACCTGATCGCGACAACAGAAGAGCAACTTGAGCTCTACGCGATCAGGTATTGCGTATTTTGGGTTTCCCAGGTGGGTACGATCCAGGTGTCTTTTCATCACTGAGATCAAGCTCCACCTCGATCTCCAGATCGAGACGAACGCTCCGCAATGTTGCTACGAGCTGACAAGCTTTTGACAAGACGGTGGCGTTGTGGAGCTAGAGAATGGAGCGATCGGTGGCAGAAAAGTAGTCACGGCTTCCGGGCGATTCTGCTGGAAAAGGAGAGCTACTGTGCACAAGGTCATGCGACTTCCAGCTCGAGTGCACGAAAGCGAGCTGAGTGAGCGAACTGATGCTGTGTGAGGCGAGACCCGAAACGAGGTGAGCGATACGTGGAGACTTGCGCCCTGTGCTCGGTTCAAGCTTGGTCCTCACCTGGTCTTCAGTGCCCTTGCATTTGTCGCCATCTTCCCTGCTGAGCAATGAGTGTAGCTCAATCTTGACCCCTCTTGTGGCGCACTGGTCTTCTTTGTCTTGCGATTCATTCAAGTACCAAGTAGCACCTCAGAAGACGAAGAGACGAGCGGGCCGTCAATGTCGATGGTCGAGCACGTCCTTGCAGCCCTCACGCTGACACGTCGATCCACAGCGCAAAGCTGTTCATCACCTTCTGCGGCCCTACAGTCTATCGCCACTTGACCCTTTCGTTCGCCCATGCAATGGATTTAGGACGCTCGTCGGTTGTCAGCGGTGCACATCGCACGGAAGTGTCGATCGCCCTGTTACAATCCATTAGCGCGTACGCCTCTCACTCTTTCTGCTGAATCCTCGTCAGACTGTGCTGCCCTACTGGTTGCACTTCGGTCATATGTGCTACGGTAGTAACATCCAAACCGACTGCTAGCGTTCACGGATGACGAGCCTCTCGTCGTTGTCAGAAATGCCTACCGGTTGTCAAACTATCGGTAGTGAGTGCTGCACGAGCACGTTGAGCTGGGACGGGATGGATCAGACATCGAGTGTGAGGATATCTCTCGTCGACTGTCTATCTATCTTCACCCCAACAGGGACGCGCCGCTCGCTCCGCGTCCACGTCGGCAAGTCCCAAGTCCGAAGGATGCATGGACCTGGCTACCCCATCGTCGCAAGTCCGGCATTCCAATCGCAGAAGATCGGAGCTTTGTCTTTTCCCGGAGCCGTCGGGCTAGCTGTTGCAGCAGCATGTGCCTCATCGCGCAGCATTTGAGAGAATCTGCCATGAGGCGCTGCGCGGCGGCACCGGACCGTTCCGCCCATCCCGATAGTCCTGGCAGCAAAACGTGAGTAACGGGTCTTCATTTCTTGTGGTAAGAACTGGCCATTATGTCTGTAAACAAAAGATGTCCATGCTGTCGTCAGGAGCGCGGGAGCCCACAGACTCTCAGTGATCCGAGAGAGGCTCGAGTGGGTCTATCTATGGTGTGCTCGCCTTCTTTCGTCCGAGCAAACAAGAAACAACTGGACCGTGAGACTTCTGATGCGAGTGCAATCTCGAGTTACTCTGCTCGAGCCATCGATATGCCGAGCGACTTGGCATGGGGATCAACAGACCTCTCGAAAGGGTCTACGCACGACCCGAAGCAGGTTCGAGCGTTCTATGTCTGACAACGTCATGCCGTTACAGATCCAGTCGTCCACGCTTCTACAACAGCCTAATCTACTGCGCCACATGGAAAGACGACACAGCGCGAGCGGGATCTGTAATGCGTCAGCACCGACACAAAGCGCTCGAGACGATTCCCGATGAGCCACTTCCGAGCAAAAATGAATGGTACGAGCGAGCGAGCGACCAAACGCGCGCGTCCGCCGGTTAGCAACGCGCTCGGACCTGCTGTTGCCTCTGACGCGCTCACTATCGTCAAAGCCGTGTACAGTCAGTCGCTCGGTGTTCAGTCAGTCATATATGAAGGAGGTCGACGAGGCGCTCGTCTTCGCAGCACCCGCGAGCAAGTGCTGTCTGTCCCGAGAAACAGCCGGCGCCACGCCCTGTCGAGGCTGACGAACTGCTATCCCGAAATCAGGCACCGGCTCGCATCATCCATTCTATGAGCGTTTGATCTGCCGTCTTCTTCGTCGTCGTCGTTGCCAGCGGCGTTGGCGACACCAAGCGAGCAGCTGGCCCTGCGACCCTTAACAGCTGCCCACTCGCCTGCCAGGAGATACACTCGCGCCCAGCGATCTACAATGAGACTATCGGAAACGTCCGCTGCTGGCAGTCCCGAGCGAATCGTCTGCACTTGTGGACCTCTTTCCACGCCATCGACGACACTGCGCGAGTACACACACTGCTTCGGTCGTGCTGCACACACACACACGCTCTCTCTATCTCTGTCTCGTCATTCCGACGTCTCAATCAGCTGTAGCACCACTACCACCACCACCACCGCCTCTACAACTTCTACAACAACTACCACGTCTACCACGTCTACTACTACTGCTACTACTACTACTACTACTACTGTTACCACTACTACAACAACTACCACGTCCACCACCTCTACTTCTACTACAACAACAACAACAACAACAACACCTACTACTACTGCTACTACGACCTCTACTGCTCCTACCACTGCTGCCATTGTACTTGCAGCAGCACACATCGAACGCTCCGTTTCGCACGCCATCGCGTACACGGCCTCCACATAGACTGACTCCAAATCAGTCCGTACGCCGCGAGATAAACGAGCGAAAGGGTCTCTGGACGCTGCTGCGATGGGTTTCACGGTCTCCCGGCGTTGTTGCAGCTGAGCTCGACCCGAGTCTTTACCTACCGCTCGCCACACGGCGGCCAGAGTGGGATGTCGCCGACGCCCGGAACGTGCTTCGGCCGTACCCATAACGACAAAAAACCGCTGCGGCCTTTACACTGCGCGCGGCCGCCGCAGTTAGGGCTCTGGTAGCCAGGCGACCGACTGGCTGCACGCCTTTGTCGCCCACCGTGACCGGCTCCTTCCCAGCTACAACGCCTCTGCACAATGGGTGGCGCGTCCAACCCCTGGCTGGACCAGGCGCAGCGACAGCGGGTTTCGTCTCCTGGCAGCTGGGGCTCCTGGCGCGCTGCCGGGGGAAAAAAGTTCCCAGCTGGCAGCCGCCCGCGGCCTTTGCTGGTCCGTGACGACCGCCGGCCCGCCTGGAAACGATCCACAGAGAGAGAGAGAGAGAGAGAGAGAGAGAGTGAGATCAGGTGGACAACAGGTCGCAAGGCGATATCTTATCATGAGACTGCGGCCCACGCGCATGTGTGTGTGAAGGCAAAAAAATGGTGCGACCCGCCGCTACTGGCCCCAATGCCGTCTTATGCTCGCGCACTTGGCAAATGGAGCAGACCGTTCGCCATGCGGGCAGAGCTTCGTGCCCCAGTCGCGTCATTGGCGACCTCTGCCCGCAAACGTTGACGCAGAAGACGCGAGAAGGCCAACGGCACTGCCCACGACAGCAAAACCACAAACCCCATCAGGACGGGCGTCAACTTTTTCTTCGCTCGCTTCGGCCGTTTATTAACGACAGCGTCTGCGATGGAGCGTTCGATCGATCGATCGATCGATCAGTCAGTCGGTCGGTCGGTCGGTCGGTCGACTCACGAACGGACAAACGGGCGGACGGTGAGTTGAGTGTCAGTGTCTATGTGAGTTGTGTGTCTATGTGCGTGTGTATCGCTCGCTCTCTGTCTGTCTGTCTGTCTGAGTAAATATAGATATATACTTTTTCTTCCCAGTGTTCCTCGTCTTCCTCTTCGATTCTTTCTGCAAAAGCCACCGCTCGCCACGTCCGTTGGCAGCCGCTGGCGTTCTTTCGCTTCTTTTCTTTGCTTTTTCACCCCACGCCCCCCCCCCCGTCCCGTCTCCGAAGGCACTCACGCACTCGCGCGCCTTTGCGAAAACGCCCGCCCGCCCTCACTTCTTTCCCAAATCACCCGAAAGCCGTCGCAACAGACGGCCAGACACACACACACACACAGAAGCAAACAACCAAACAGAAACAAACAGTCAGTCAGTCAGTCAGTCAGACCGACCGACAGACAGACCGACCGACCGACAGACAGACAGCCCGACAGACAAACCGACGGACAAGCGGCGGAGTATCACTTTTCAATCGACCGACTCGAACGCACCGGCCGCCTCCTCCACCGGATGCAGAGCCCCCGCGAGATCTCGTCCGAGCCCCAGGGCGCTCTCACGCCGTCCACGGCGCGTCTCGTCGCCAAAGCGGCCGTCGAGGTGCCCGCGACGGGCGCGACCCCCCGCGTGCTCGACCCGTCCGCCGCGCGCCAGCCCTGGGCCAACCTCAGCGTCGACACGGCCGCCACGCTCTCCCCGTCCTCCACTTCCTCTTCTTTCAATCGAACCTCTTTGACCGCCCACGACGGCCACACGCCCCCACCGGCCGCGGCGTCCCCCGCCGCCGTCAGCGCCCCGTCGTCCCTCCGCTCGGGCTCCGGCTCGAGCCACGTCAGCCTCCCCGCCGGCCTCTTACCCGAACGCTACACGGCCGACCTGACCCACTGGCAGTCGCCCGCCGACCTCCCCGAGCGCCGCCTCATGGTCCAGCGCATCATCGCCATGACCCGCAGCAAACGCGCGTCGAGCGACGCCGTCGACGCGCGCACGCCGTCGCTCGCGAAGCGCATTGAGCTGTCGCTCTACTCGCGCGCCGCGTCGTTCCTCGAGTACCGCGACCTCAACACACTCCGCCGCCGCCTCCAGTCGCTCGTGTCGCTCAGCTTCCACGAAGCGGCCGTCTCCCGCCGCCACGCGGCCGCTGCCGCTGCTGTCACGGCGGTGCCGCTGCTGGGGAAGCGCAAGGGCCGCAGCGCAGTGCCCCCCCCACCACAGCAACAACGGCCACGAACGCCTTTGGGGTCCCGCGCCTCGTGCTGAAGCGGCCGCGACCGCGCGACGCGACCGCTCGCAATGGGTCTCCTGCGGTGCCGGACGAGGCGCTGTTTTTCCTCATGGACGAAGCGCTCGTGCGGCTCGTGTTTGCGTTCCTCTCGGGCGTCGACACTGTCCGGTGCACGCAGCTGAACCGCTTTGCGCGGCGCGTACTGCCGCACTGCGTCGTGGCGCTTGACGTGGAGCTGCGGCAGCTGCAGAGCGCCTACCGGTCGGTCGACGCGACGCGCCCCGCGGCGACGCTGCTCTGCGCGTACCCCAACTTGACGCACCTGACGGTGTTTAACGCGCGGAAACCGCTTTGCGACCAGCAAGAAGACGGCCCGGCGCTGCACGCGTGGGGCTGCAGCGAACTGGACATTAGCCACGACAATGCCGGCGAGAAAGTCGTGCAGCAGTTGGCCGAAGGCATTGAACTGGGCGCGTGCCGCCGGCTCACGAGCCTCCGCCTCGTGTCGGTGTTTACCAACACGTGCCGAGGCAATGCGCTGCACTTGCTCTGCGCGGCACTGGTCAAAGGCTCGTGCCCGGACTTGCAGGACCTGTTGCTGGGCGGCAATGGCTTTTCCGACGTTGGCACGGTGGACGTGGCGTGGCTGCTGAAGACGGGTTCGCTGCCGAAGCTCGCGCGGCTCGACATTCGGCGCAACTACATTGGCGAGTCGGGGCTCAAGCGCATCATGGCGGCGCTCGGCGTCGGGCGGTGCCCGCAGCTCAAGTATTTATGCATGGGGGGCAACATCATTACGGACAATTGCGTGGCGCCGGTGGTGCAGCTCCTGTCGAGCGCCCAGTGCCCGCAGATGCGGTTCCTCGGGCTCGAAGACAACTTCCTGAGCGCCCGCGGCGTGCAGTGTATTATTAAAGCGGCGGTCGCGGGCGGGATGATGCCGAAGCTGCACCACGTGTCGTGCGATGGGACGCTCGGGGCGGACGAGCGGTCGTCGAGTGCACGTGCGGCGTGAGCGATTCTGGTGGAGTCGGCGACGGCGACGACGACGGAGGGAGGAGAATGGCGTTGTCGCTGGAGGAAGTAGTATGGGGTGGGTAGAAAATGTTTAATAATGGGCCAGAGATGAGCCGCTTTTCGGATCACTCGTGTCGACGGCGGCTGGAGTTTAGCAGTAACAAATGTACCAGCGAGACGGAAAATAGGACCGACGTGTTTGTTACCGTCGCTGAGAGTTTGGCTGCTGTTGTTGTTGTTGTTGTTGTTGTTGTTGTTGTTGTTGCTTGCTGTTAAATCAGTAGATGCTAGTAATTGGAAGGCTGTGGATCGCTGGGAGGGGTATACATGTAGCAGCCACCTCACTCCGTGTCGCGCGCCTCGCTTTTGTGACGTATACACAGTGTGTTTACATCAGTGTTTCTTTGCGTGTTTCTTGCTTGAGTGCGTGTGTTTGTGTGTGTTTGGGGTTGTGTTCCTTTCGGCCGCGCGACCGCTTTGCGAACAGCACTCGACCGCCGCGCCGGGCCGTCCGTCCGTCCGCCCGCCATGTCGTACTTTATCCCGCCCGTGAACTACGGTATGGTCGAAGAGGACCTCTACCGCTCGGGACAGCCCAACGAGCTCAACTTTCCCTTCTTGGAGCGCTTGAAACTCCGCACGATTATTTATTTGGCGCTCGAGGCGCCGAACCCGCAGTTCCAGAGCTTTGTGGAAGAGCAGGAGATTCAGCTCGTGTTTCTAGGGGGCAACACGCGCATGGAGAGCCGGCGCAAGTCGTGGGAGCCGCTGTCCGAGGAGACGGTGCTCGCAGCGCTCGAGCTCCTCCTCGACCGGTCCAACTACCCGCTCTACATCACGTGCCACCTCGGTCGCGACCGCACAGGTACGGCGAAGAACACACGGCCCTTGTTTCAAACGTCGGCAACAAGGGTTTTAAACTCACGCGTGTGTTTGTTTGTATGTGTGTCCGTGACTGGATTGGCGGTGGTGGTGGTGATGGTAACGGTGGTGTTTTATACCGTTGTGTTTGTTGATGGCGGCTGTAGGTGCCGTCGTCGGGTGTCTGCGCAAGATCCAGGGCTGGCACCTGTCGTCCATCTTTGAAGAGTACCGGCGGTTTGCAGGCAGCAAAGTGCGGCTGCAGAACGAGCAGTTTATCGAGCTCTTTGACACGGACCTGGTGACGATCCCGGCGAATCCGCCGTCGTGGGTGCGGAACCCACTACACCATCCGCTGTGAAGCTGAAAAGCGTATCAGCGGTATCCGACGGCAGCAAAGCGAGGGCGCGAGCGAGCGAGAATAGAAAACAAGACGCTGTTAGTCAACGCTCGTGTTTGGATTAAAACAAATGGGGAACGCAAACACGAGCTCAACTTGTTGGAAACCACCTCCACGACATGGGCGCGTCTCGCATCCTACACGTGCTCGCAGCAACAACAAGAAGAAGAAGAAGAGCTGTCCGCATCGCTTGCTCCCTCCCTCGCGACGTCGTCGTCGTCCGTGTCCATCGCACCTCCTGCTGCTTCGTGTCGACCTCACGCGTGCCAAAAACTGATTTAAACACCCGCCCGCCACCCGCCTCGGCTCGACAACTACTCGAGTGACCTCGTGCTGTTTCTCGCTCCTACACAGCGCAGCGCTCGCTGCTTTGCTTTCTGTTGCATTAAGTCTCGCTCAGCGACTGCACGAGCGCCGTTAGCACGACTTGTGGCCGCCCACCTGCTCGAGCGCACAGTCGATCTGGTCCTGGTCTTCCAGCTCGAGCATCTTGGGCGTCTGGTCGCCGCTGATGCGCGTGCCGTCCAAGAGGAACCGCAAGGCACTGGCCGGCACGCCCTTGCGCTGCGCATAGGCGCTAAAGATCTTTTCCATCTTTGTATTGGGCTTCACCTTGAAGAACGTCTCTTCGCCCGACTGGTCCTTGACGCGGATCGTGATGGGCTCGACCTTCTTCTTGTCGTCGCCGTTGCTGGCGTCGGTGCTGGGCGGCGCTTCTTCCGACATGAGGGACTGACTGACTGACTGACTGGCTGACTGACTGGGCGTTGACAAGGCGGCGGAAAACGGCGACGGGCAGTTGTTGGTACTGGCTGGAGCGGGGCAACAGGGAATAAAACAAAAACACAGAGAGAGAGAGAGCGCGTCGTTAGTGAGTGGCCGCAGGCAGTGGCTGGTGGATCATCGAGCGCACGAGTCCAGCGCGGGTCGGTGGTTGTTTTAAACGTGTTGTTTAATACACCACCACCACCACCACCACCACCACATCGTGCGGAAAGAAACAGAACCGTCCTGGAATCAAACCCGCACACAAGTCGGTCGACTCGCTTACCTCCTTTCGGCAGTCGCTCGAATTCGAAAGTGAGCCATTTCCTCAAACCAACTTGTTTCTTTCATCCATCCACTGCGGTTCGTTCCGGAGGCCACTTTGATCCTACATTAGGGCGACGCTCCTCATTAGTGTGTCACCCACCACATTAGTTTCGGCACTCGCTCTTCCAGCGCGAAACAAACAGAGCGAAAGAGCGCGCGCGTCGACTGCGATGGTACGTTACATGCGCACATGCGACGCGAGACAGAGGCGGCAGTTGACTGTTGCATTACTCTGCAAATAAAGCGCACGTCTGGTTGTGCACTTGTGTGTGTGTGTGTGTGTGTGTGTGTGTGTCGATGAGATCAATCGATCGCTCGCTCGCTCGATCAGCGGATGGGTACAACAATATCGACAAAAAGATCGAAACGTGACGGTCTAATTGCGTGTATCTTGACGATTGTATGTGTCTGTCTGTCTGTAGCTACCGCTTTCGCTGCTCAAGACGGCACAGGGACACCCTATGGTACAGACGACACGTGGACTCGATATGGATACTAACGCGTCGACGTGGTGCTGTGAAGTAACTCGAGTGTATCGTGACTTTGCTGTTGTTGTGGTTGTTATTGTTGTGGTTGTTATTGTTGTGGCGTCGTAGCTGGTGGAGCTCAAGAACGGGGACACGTACAACGGCCACCTCGTGAACTGCGACACGTGGATGAACGTCAACCTGCGGGAAGTCATTTGCACGTCAAAGGTGTGTCACTCGGGACGACGGCGTGTTGCTTCGGTTGTGTGTGTACTTGCGAGACTGGACGAGTCGCGCGAATCTGACGGCATCCGTGCGGTTCAATCGTCTGTGCGTGTGTGTGTGTGTGCGTGTGTGTGTGTGCGTGTGTGTGGGATTGACGTTGATGCAGGACGGCGACCGGTTCTGGAAGATGCCCGAGTGCTACATTCGTGGCAACACCATCAAGTACATTCGCGTCCCGAACGAGGTGCGCAGACTGACGAGACATTGTGTCATGCCGACTGGATCGATGGCGTTTCTCATAACGTTGTTGCCGCGTGTGGTGTCTCTCGTCCAGATTCTCGACATGGTGCACGAAGAAGACTTGAGCAAGCGCGGTACGTGTCTGCGCTCGTCCCTTCGTTTGCTAGCTACTGGATGCAATGGTGACGCTGACACGTGTATGCATGTGCTTGTCCGCGTGGATGCGGTACAGATCGTCAAGCGAACCGTGGACGCGGCCGTGGATCGCGTGGCGGGATCGGCGGTCGAGGAGGTCGTGGAGGGCGAGGCGGACGCGGTGGACGCGGAGACGGCGCGGACGGCAGCGGTCGTGGCGAAGTCGGCCGTGGCCGTGGTCGAGGTGGCGGTGCGGTCGCGGTCGAGGACGCGGTCGCAACGACAGCTAACTACCTCCAGGGCGCTGGAGCAGCGCACGGTGCAGTGCTGTAGTTCGCCAGGCGGCTGCAGCGTCCATCGAGCACGAGCTGTGTGTACACGTTCCCATTGCCACCTAACGACACGCAAAACAAATGGCACACCACTGAAAAACAGCGCAAACGTCTGTCAAGCAGCAGCAGCAGCAGAGAGAGAGTGAGCGAGAGCGAGAGAGGGTGCCAGCGAGACGGCCGTCTACTCTGTCGTTGATATTCTCCTTCTTCGTCTTCTCCTGTTGCGGCTCTGGCTAACACACACCGCTTCGAGACCGCTGTCCGCGCGTCTATTTGGCCGCTGGAGTGTCCGCCCGCTGCCCCTGTGGGTTGTGCTCCACGAGGTACGACGCCAACCACTCGATCGGGTTCGCCGGCCGCTCCTTCACGAGCGCCGACATGCCCTGCAGCAGAATCGGCACCACCGTCTGGTCCAAGTACGCGCGTATGGGCAGCGCCTGCACCTGTGCCTTGTCCTGCGCCCTCTCGACCGCCGTCTCCTCGACGTCCGACTTGTTTAAATCAGGTTCAATGGCGTCGCTGTTTTTTTCCCCTGTTGACGGCGCTGGCGGTGCTCCGGTCGTGGAAACGCCGTCAGGGGCTCGCGGCGTCGTCTCTTGTTCCGCAACGGCTGCGCTCTTGCCGTCACTTGGCTCGACGACGGCGGCGGCGGCGGCTGGCGCTTCTTCCCTTGCCGCAAGAGGCTCTTCCTGCCGGTCGTTGGTCTGCGGCAGCGCCGTTGGCTCGTGCGCAGCAGCTGGCGAGACGCTGGACTCGGCCGCGACGTCTGTGTGTTTAAAACAAAGCAAACAAACAGGTGCAAGCCGAATGTTGGTACTATTTGAATCGCAACGTTCACGTCGAGGTCGCAAAAAAAACATGACGCGGACCGTACCGTGCGACGTACTGGTGTTGACGTCCTCGTTTTCCATGGCGGAGATCGAGCAGGACGCGGATAGAGATGGAGAGATGGAGAGATGAAAGAGAGAGAGAGAGATGAAGAGAGAGAGAGAGAGATGAAGAGAGAAGAGGTGAAGCGCGAGCTGCGGTCGTTCTTTCTCGGCAATGACGTGCAAGTCCAGACAGGAAAGCGAGCGCACCTCCTGACGTAATGAACAATACTACGACACACTGTTTCACTAGGAGAACGAGCTGTCGACCATTGTGTCTGTCGACAGCAGATACTGTACCGACTACCCGGCCAAGCATGAGGTGGTCAACACAGTAAGAAACAGCGCCCACCCTGTTTTAAACAGCGCGCGCGCGCGCATGGCCAAATCTAGCCTTTTCAGATTTACCAAACGCGCGTGATTAAAACAGCCCAAGGGGGTGCAAACAGTGGCTGGACGGCGGCGGCGGCGCTGTCTCGGCCCCTCTACATGTTGCGGATCGCCTCTTCCTCCTCGTGCTCGAGCCGCATGGCCTCTTTGATCGCCCGACTCTCGGCCTCCACCCACCCCCTCTCAATGTCGTCGTACTCGGCCGGATCGGCAAACTCGAGGCCGCGCAGTTTGGCAAACTTGTCGAGGAACCGGTGGCTCTCGACGTGGTCGTACTTCTCAATGAGCATATTGAACGCGTCTTCCTCGGGAATGCCCATCTCAATGAGCGTCAGCTGCTCGTCGGCGAACTCGTAGGCCGTCTGGCCGTCCAACATGCCGTCGCGCTGCTGCATGTAGAGCTCTGCCAGTCGGTCCTGGGGGAACGTGAGCACGGGCACTTTGTCGCGGTCTTGACGCGGGATCGGGGGGCGGCGGGAAGCGGTCGACCATGGGCACCCACGACGGCTGCCGCATGCCGCCGTGGCGGGACAGGCCCTTGACCAGGCGGATCATGTCCATCGTGCGCTTCCGGGCTCGACCCATTGTCGGCGCTCGTCGTCGTCGTCTCGAGAGGTCTGTGCTTTTGCTGCTGTCCACGCACTGGCGAAGAAGCCGCTTGTTTTAAACACGATGGAATGGATAGTAACGCTCGTTGGAGCGTGGCGTGGACTCGAAAACGTTGGCGAAAACGTTGGCGAAAACGTATTTTACTGCCCCACGCTGCAAAACAACAATACCAACAATACAAACAAAAACAACACAAGGAACGTGGTAAATGAATTGTTCGAAACAATGCAAGTGCGTTTGTACTTGTGTGGCGTCTGTTTCAAACAAGTGGGTGGTGTACACACAGCTTTTTTGCTACACTGTGCACAACAACAACAACAGCGCTGTATCAACTGAACGCTAATTGTCGTCACTCGAAAACAGCAGTGCGCTCGAAACGTCACTTGTGTATACAATTAATTGCTCCCGTGCCTCCACCTGAGTCCAACACGACTGGGACAGGCAGTTGCAGTGCACTTTGCAACCAAACAGACGCCTTCCTGACGAGAATGCCGCCGCTCCTTCGACTGTATCCCATCTTCTTGGCTTGCAGCGCTCTGGTACTCCACATCAAAAGCTTTTGCAGTGCCACGAGAGAGCTGAGAGTCCTATTGCCATTGCTCGACAGGTCGGACTCAGCTTGTGCCTCTGGTGCGACGCCACTGAAGTACGTTCGTCCAATCAGCCGAAAAAACGCGGACGCGGTCGGGACTGACTTGTGCCATGCCAATGTCGCAGCTCGCGAGCCGCCAACAGCACAACGACAGGTCGCTCAAGTACCTGCTCAACAGCGTCCCACCGACGCTGGCGGCTCTGCTCTTGCTATACTACGCCTGCACGTTCGCACGGCCCTCCAGTGTGTATGTCCATCGCATGATACTGCACTCCTGTCTCCACCAGAGCGTGGCCAGTCTCATGCTCGCGTCGCTCGTGTTCTCGGCCTGTCAAGCGTCTCTCAGCTTGTGCTGCACGTTGCCAGCCTTGTGGTACCGATACCTGCAACTGTCAGCTCTCTCAACAGGAAAAAAGACACCCACTCACTCACTCACTCACTCACTCTCTGCGTCACTGTGCACAGCCCCGTGGACCCAACAGCCCATCAGCTTCATCGGATCGTGGCGTGTCCAGCGTCCGTTGCGCACATTCCACATTACAACCTGTGCATGCGGATGATCCATAGCAGTGCCACAGTCACGACGCTGTTGGCGTTGTCCACTATTGCAGCTGCCCAATCCGTCAACGACCTCAAAGCACGAGAGCGTCACGCCACATTGCTCACGTTTGCCCGGCAGGAACCAGTGCACGAAGCTTCAGCTGCTGTCGAGTTGTAGAACCTGCTCGCGATACGCAGCCACAAGCACTATAACAGCAACAGCAAATCTATACGCGATGTTATTCCGATACCCGCAGCAGCGCCAAACACAATACCAGCAAATAAAACCGTCGCAGTTATAACAAATAGCAAACATACAGCCAAATGGGTCGTGTCGAAAACCCGCTTCCATCAACCGCGCGTGTGGTTTTATCCGTTCAACGCACCGCTTTTATCCATTCCTAGCACTGCTTTTATCCACGGATATTCCAAAAACGACGGCTGAAAAAGCACGCGGCCAGGTCCGCTTCCTACGTCTTCATGCTGCGCGCGGCGACCACGCGCCACGTCCGCCTGCTGCAGGTGAGCAGACCCGCTGTCCTTTTGTGCATCGGCTCCTCTCTCGCAGTCGCGCTTGTCGTCTCGACGCGCGAGCGCTGTCCACGGATCCAGGAGGAACGACGGGAGAAAAAACCTCGAGGCGTCCCGCAGGTCATCGCTCGCGCCTCGTTTGCGCGGAACCTGCGATACAGCATACTCCCGCTGTGGTCGATACGCGGGCGGTCGGAACGCGCCGCGTCCGTGTCCACTTTGGCGTCCACGTCCGCGGCCTCGTCCTCTTGCGTGACCTGCTGGATACGGACGTTCTGGCTGGAACTTTGGCTGGCGCTTTTGCAGCTGCTGCATCATCTGCTGCAGCTGCCGAGGCATCGGAGGCGGTGGGAGGGGTCCGGCATGACTATATGGAGGTGGCGGCGGCGGCGGCGGCGGCTGCATGGCCTTGTGAGGTTTTTCGATTCGTCGTTTTCTCGCTTTTACTGCTGTGGGTTGTCCTCCTCCGACGCTTTCGAACACCCCCTCGACTCGATCGATCCAACCAGCGCGTTCCGCTTCGTTCTCTCCAGTTGGTCTCTTTTCTTTTTTTGTGATTTGTACCCCCCCCCCCCAATTGACACATCGCTTTCTCGCGCGGTGTGCGCTAATTTGGTCCTTCCAGATCGACTTTGCCGCTCGATATAGTCCCACAGGACCTTCCGGCCGCCTGTCAACACCCAAACAATACGCAGCAGAGCCATTCGTCCGTCCAGTTCAATCAATCAATCAGTCGCTCGCTCCGTAGCGCCGTAGCTGCTCGCGCCCACCTCCGCTGCTCCCCACGTCGAGCGCTCCCGCGCGCGTCGCGTCGGATGAACCACTACGCGCCGCCGTCGAGCCGCGCGGCGTTCCCACGTGGCGGTCCGCCGCCGTTTCGAGGCCCTCCGCTCGCGTTCCCTCGGCCCGGGCCGCCTCTGTTCCGGCCGCCGTTCGCTGCACGCGGTCCGCCGCCGCCGTTCGCGTTCGCTGCACGCGGTCCACTGCCCGCGTTCCCGGGACGGAGCGTCGCGTCTGCACGCGGACCGCCGCCGGGCATTGCCCGCCGGAGCCTCCCGCCGCCGATGATGGCGACACTGGGCTTCCACGCACCTGTCCGACCGCGGCACGAGGCTCGAGCCGCCACTGGCTTTCTCCCGCCTGGATGGACCGAGCACAAGACGTCGCACGGCGCGACGTACTATTACAATGCAGCGACGGGCGTGAGCACGTACGACGTGCCGCGGCGCGTGGAGCCCGAGAAACCGGCGCTGCGGAAGTGGATGGAGTACAAGGACGAGGCCACAGGTGCGTTCTACTATTTCAATACCGTGACGAAGGAGACGGTGTGGGACCAGCCCGAGGAGTTTCGCATGCAGCGCGCCAGGGAACAGGTTGCCAAGATGAAGACGGAAGCGGCGAGGCAGACGGCCGTGTCGTCGCCACGCACGGCACCGGTACACACAGCGCCCACGCGACGGGCAGCACCGGCATTGCATGTCTCCGCGACCGTGCAGCGCGTCGTTGCTCCGGATCACATTAGTGTTGCGTCGACGGAATCCGAAGAGGAAGAAGACGAGGAGAAGCTGGCGGAACAGAGACGACGGGCAGCTCAGGAGAAGCTGCGCCAACAGCGCAAAGAAGCACTGGAGCGCGACCAGGCAGCGCAGTTTGAACACATGTCGTGTGCTGACCGCATGACTGCGTTCAAGCAGTTTCTAGAAGATAAACAGATTACGCCGACGCTCAAGTGGGGCGACGCGCAGCGTGTGATTGGAAAGGACACGTCACTGTCTAGCGATCCACGATGGAAGTTTGCGCTGACAAGCGTGGGCGAGAAGAAACAGGCGTTTGCCGAATATTGCACGCACGCCAAGAACCGCGCGACGATTGAAAAACGGCGACTGGTGAAGAAGACGCGAGAGGAATTTACCGAGTTGCTTGGCCTGTTTGAGTCGATTTTAGCGCCTCCTTCACGGCGCCGTCAAGTATCGTGGGAGGAAGTGGTGGAGAACAGCAACTTTTACGCCTTGAGGCAGGACCCACGATGGTCAGCTGTTGAAGAGACGCGGGAGCGGCAACAGCTTTTTGCCACGTTTATGCAGGAATTGGAGCGCAACCAGAAAGCTCGACTCGCCAAGCAACGTGATGCAATCCGAATTGCTTTTGCAGAACTCCTGCGACAGCGTGTCGAGTCGAGGCAATTGGATCTCAGTGGCACTCGCTCGAGCAAGCGGCTGGACACTGACGACAAGCGCCGTGTCCTTGCTTTGCTGGAAGAGGTGGAACTTCCGAATAACGGTGGCAAGGTTGGCGAAGATGCACTTCGTATTGTTGACCGTCACGACGTGTATAGCTGGGTGGAAACGTTCCTGGACGAGCGGCGCAAACTAGAGCAGGCGAAGCGCAAGCGTGAGCGTGCAGAACGCGCGGAACGTGAAGAAAAAATGGTTTGTGCACTAAACGAGCGATTGAAAGAGCTGATCGCCGCGCAGAAACTGACCGTTGGAAGCTCGTGGGAGGTGTTTGCGGCTGAGCACCTTCCACACGCTAGCGAGCAACAGATCAGAGAATCGAAAAGCGAAGCGGAAGGCGGAGGTGCAGCGGATACAGCTTGCACCGATCGCGAAGACGGAGACGGCGAGCATTTGCACTGGAAAGCACAGCGTCACGCCGTTGAGAAACATATTCGTAGACTTCGTCGAGATCTGGAGCCTGCAGCTTCGGCAATTCGCGCGTACTTGGATCGCAGTGGTGATCCGCCATTGCGTATTACAGAGACAACGTCGTATGCAGTGTACGCTGATGCGCTTGAGAGCGGGGTCGGTGTCGTATTGGATAACAATGCACCAGAAGAGGGAGAGGAAGAGGCGAGCGAAGCGACAAATGGTGTGACGACGAGTGCCATCAATGTGCCTGACGGTAATGTAGCCACAAAGAGTGGTGACGGGGTCAAGAAGCTGAAGTCTGAAGAGATCGATGCAGCTTTGGAGGCTGCAGTCAAAAAGCAGCGCGAACTGAAAAATGGCCATGCAAGTGTAGAGTTTCCTGCGTACGTACGTCAGGTGTACGACATGTGGGTTGCTCTGGCAAGAGAAGAAAGCCGAAGAGAGCAGGAGAAGAAGTCCAAGCATCACAAGCGAAGCCGCAAGGAGAGCCGCGACTTGACCGCTGAAGCTGATGGCGGAGAGAGGCGACTGCGTCGCTCGCGTCGTCGGTCTTCGGTGACAGAGGAAGTGGAGAACGACAAGAACCACAAGAAACAGTCGGGCCATCGAGCAGCGAGGAAACGTCGCCGCAGTCATGGGTCGCGGTCCGTATCCCGGTCCAAGTCTCGCTCTCGCTCAGCTTCTCGACGGATCCGGTCAAGTCATCGACGCGGCCGATCCGACCGCAGTCGCAGTCGAAACCGATCGCGTGATCGTGATCCGGCATTGCCTCCCAGTTTAGCAGCTGTAAGCTCGAAGCCGGTCGAGCCAAGTGCGACCAAGGACGCGTTTTCTCCGCTTCGGACACCATCGAAGCCACTGTCCGCAGCAGAAGAAGCCGCAAAGGCAGAGGAGATTATTCGTCAGGCGCGGCTCAAGCTGCAAGCCAAGAGCGTGAGCACGTGCAACGACAACCAGGAGCTCGAGGAGGGCGAGGAATTGGAAGAAGGCGAAGAAGGCGAAGAATAGATAATACTATGGTAGGCAGCTCCAGTGGACTGCACAAAAATAATCGTCGCGCAACACGGCCTCAAACGTAAGACGCTTCCAATGCCAGACGCCAGGCATTCCGGCCTTCCCGCCCTCGAAATGGGTACAAAGCTATTTGATTTCAGTGGTTGGTCGAGTTGAAGCGATGTGCGACGATGATACCGCATCGATGACCGACCCTCAGCGAGCAACGTCAGCAGCTTTTTCTTTGTTTTGTAGGTCAAGTTGAAGCAACGTGCGACAAGACAGCGTGGGTGAGCGACCCTCAGCGAGCAACAACGGCGACGTTTCCGTATGTGTTAGGAGACAGGATAAGACATGACGTATGTGAACGCCACGATGACGACGTTGAAGACGAAAAAGGTCGCAGAAAAAAGATAGTCAACGCGCAGCCAGAGGACGTTACGCGTGCGACACGTTACGGGATCGGGGCCGACCGACATGACGCGTGTCGCAGCAGCAACTGGAAGGACCGCACGCTCCATTTCGACAGTTGCCCGATCGCATTTGTTCTACTTTTTGTATCGAATTTTGCACGCGATTCGCAGCAACGCCGATGGGCTTTTCCTTTGCGTACATTCCAGCGACCACGTCCGAGCGCGAATAAGAGCTCTCTAATTGGCCGATAGCGTCAACTCCGTATTCGACCGTCCCGTGCCCCGTCGTCAGTGGTTCCTTCTTCCCCACGTCATGGCGCTCTCGCTCTATCGCCGTATTCTGCGCGTGGCACGAACATGTACGTCATACGCATCTCATTGCGCGGTCGTTCGAGGCAAATAGGAGTGAACGGCCACTCAGTACAGTCTGTATCTGCGCCGGTTGTTTGTGGCGTCCCTCCGTGGCTTCTCTCTCTCTCTCTATGCTTCTGACGCCCCTCTCCCGCACCTTATTATCTGGATTTCCAGGGGAAGGCACCTGCATGGAACAACAGTGGATTCGAGAGGAGGGCAGGTACGAAGACGCGTGCAACGTCGCGTCCGTCTGACGTGCGGTGCTCTCTATTGCGTATATGGATAGCATCGCGGTTCGTGCGCGACGTTGCAGTCGTTACAGTGGCGCGAAGCTTCATGTGTGGACGTGTCCTACTTGGCATGTAGACGCCGCTTCGAGGAAATGCGCACGTTGCGCGACGCTGCGGCAATCGACGATGCGATCCGAGCGGGACACAATCAGGTGGACGTGGCGCTGCACTACAAGATCTGCTACCCGCGACCGCAGTACGTGGACCCGGGCACAATGGGCGGAGAGACCGACTTTCGGCGTCAGTCGTCACGGAGCAACACGAGACGCGGGCGGCTGCACAAGAGCAAAGTGCAGAGCGAATTCCGCCCGGACGGACGGTAAGCACCAGCGGCACGTGCAGGAGCAGCAGCACACCGTCGACCGGTTGATGGGTCGGTCAGCCAGCCGCCGTTTGGTCCAGCAGAGTAATGATCGACTTGTACATTTACTTTAACGTGTACGCTCTGTGCTACTGCTACTGCTACTGCTGCTACTGCTATGGCGACCGACGCATGGGACCACAGCGCGATGGTCTGTCCGCTGGGCTGGACAAATGCCTAACAATTGAGCGATAAATTACTTTGCTATGCTATAAGATAAACAGGTGACGAGGTGACGAGCGGGGCCGCGGCCGACCGGCTACTCGTCTTTCACGTGCGTGCGTACGTACGTACGTACGTCCGCCCCACGTCAGAGCGCGACGAGCAGCACCGAGTAGATCGAGCACCGCGGCAGCGCGAGGAACTGCGCGACCGTGAGGTTGAACCCCAGCGCCTGCATGCGGCCCACGAGGCGCACGCCCTGCTCTTCCGTGCCCTTCAAGTCGTAGAAAAAGTCGCTGGTCAGGGCCACGTCGCTGCGTTGCAGTTCGCGCTGCCACAGCTGCAGCAGAATCTGCGCGTACATGGGGACGCTCGCGTGGCGCGGCGGCTTGTCGAGCGACTTGCGCCGCACGTGCGTCGGCTCTTGCTCGTCCTGGGCAAACATCAGCGCGTCGACGTCGGCCAGCGACGCGAGGCTTCGTGTCGAGTTCGACTTGCGCATGCCGCCGGCCTGGGGCAGCGTCGGCAGCTGGCACGGGGTCTTGATCATAGCGGGAGTGGCGAGGAGCGGGCAGTCGGCGTCGTGGGCGGCAGAGAAAGGGCTCTTCTCTGCGGTCGTCGCTCGTCTGAGCTCGAGGCGGCAGATTCGGAAATGAAGTGCAACGACGACATGTTGGGGTGCGCGGCCGAGTGGGGCCACGGGAGACTCGTGCGACCGACTTCGAGTGACTGGGTTTCAGTACGAAACCCGTCGTGGAGACGAGTCGGTCGCACGAGGTCGAGGCGCGCGCGGGGGCACAGACGGGCGGCCAAACGTCCGGATGTTGGCTGATGCAGAGTGAGTGAGTGAGTGAGTGCATGGCCAGAACAGACGTCGTGGGCGCAACGAGACGCGAACTCACTGGATTACTGTATGTGAAATGACGCTCAACAGCCCAACGGGGAGGGGGGGGGCAAGGAAGAAACCGTTGCTGGCCATCACTCTGGCAAAATAGACAAACTGTTCTCGAGAAAGAAGGCGGAAACGGAAGCGTTTTTGCTGCTGCTGCGAGGACGGCCCATCTATTCAGGTGGCGCATTTGCTCTGCAAAGCCGACAATGGCTCATGAGCAAATCGAAAGCTCTCGACGGGATATGTGGGAAACTCGCTCCGTGGGTCAACAACGCATCGTTGAGGTCGTGCGGCAGCCAACGGATACGCTTTCGTCAACAACAAACGAACAGGTGGTATTACTACTCCTGTAGTTCATTCGGACAGATGCGCTCTGATCGAGCAAAAGTCGTGTATGATCACTGCCGCAACTGGTTGCATGTCCGCTCGCTCGCGCTGTCGAAACGTAGTGCACGGACGTGCTCGATCGACGCCATCGATCGAGCTGTTGTTGCTCGTTCGTGCGATGCATGTACCGTACTGAACTGCAACGTGGCGGCGTATCGGCGGTACTTTGTCGTCGGATGCAGAGCGATCGTGCAATCGTGAGGATCACGTCACAAGACAGCCTCGTAGGCAGGGAAGCGGGCCGGTACTGCCGCGCCTTGCGTGCCCTCACTTTTGTGCAAGCACAACCCACTGCCACGTTTACTCGACAAGTGCGCTGGACAAACTGCGTCGTGTAGTAGTCGAAAGTCATTCCAACGATTAGCACCGGGGAACCACACGTCGACAAATCCTCAATCATGCAGTGGGACGGTAAACAGTGTGCGTTGACACTGTCCGATGTCGCCTCGAGCGCACACACAGTTACGTAGCTGACATGTCGCCGCCGCTAACGTTGTCGAAAAGTCTGGACGACCGTTGGTTTCGCTGTGACGCCCCTGTGACCTGATGTCTGCGAACGGCAGCATTATGTGTGTCTCGTGCGAGAATCCTCGATGAAACCACACGCGGAATAGACAGCGCGACCACTGGAAGCGTCGCACTGAGTGCTGCGTTCATCAATGAGTCAGGTCGCTTGTGATCCAGTTGCTTTGGTCTTCAATCGCGTCAGAGCTGCAAATCGAAGCGCCAGCGCTTTCGTATCTTTGTGGCTCTTCGATTGAGCGATCCTGTGCAAACGACGCCTCGAGCGTGCGGGCCATGTGGCGGAAGATACTTTCTAGGCCGTGTCGTTGCAGCCGGGTCTAACGTGGTGGCGTTGTTGCTATCGTGCGGCTGCACCACCGGCTACGATAATGTATTTGACTTCAGGTAAACAAACGACTTCTTCTGCCGATTATCTGAACTCGTAAAGCCACAGAAAGCTGAACACGCGCTGTTACAAGGCTTGTCTGCTTTGCTCGAAGCGCCGGCCATCCAACGTCGAGCCAAACACGAGGGTCTGTCGCATCAGTGCAGTCTGATGCACCGGACTGCGTGTTCGGCTCGGGCAATGCAACTACGGCGTCGAACCAGAGCGAGCTCGAGTGGTCCACGCCCATGATAACTCGTCCGTCTCGAGCCTGCATACATATCGCTATCATATGGTACTAACCTATCGATAAATCGGCTGACAAAGCATATATGCTGAGAAACTTGTGCGTATGAGGTGCTCAGTATCGCCTTAGTGCCAACGCGTCGGCCTGCGATCGAATATGTTTGTCGAGGCAGCACCTGCAATATTGATCGGATGTACGGCCGTCGCTGCCATGCAGAGAGGTCAGCAAGACTTAGGTGTGACCGCCATCACAAGTGATATCTGCAATAGTAGACGATGTATGAGCAGCAACGACGCCTGAAAATTATCAAGCGCAACACACAGTTGCGGTAACGACGACGCGTCACGCGCGATAGCAAATGAAGAACGCGGTGCATCGGCCGTTTATCAGGAGCTTATCTGCACTTTGTCAAAGCCTCGTGCTCAGCGGATAGTACCTCAAGTTCCAGTTTGCGCTGACTTGAAGCACGTGCGCGCGTCGTCGTTAAGCTGTAAACAAAAACGCACGATGAAGGGATATTGTTGTGCGGGCTATACTCTGAAAGGTGAGTACAAAGAAAAAGCTCAACGGAGGCATGACAAGAAGCTGGACGCACGACCCGATTCTACAACTGCAGCGAGCTGTGCGCCCTGTTGCGCTGAAATGCGATCAACAATGGTGAAGACGGAGAGCAACTCAGCGTGCCGATATCGAAATGAAGCACCGAGTCATGTTGCGAGCACATAATCGGCAGATCTGACGTCAACGGGGACCCAACTTGTTATCAGCGGTGGCGGTTGTCGTAAACAGCCAAGAAACTTTCGTGGCCGTCGCAGAGCCGAATACATCATCAGCCTTGTTCCGCGATCAGTGTGCTCGATCAGCCGAGCTCAGTCTTTCGTTCTCGCTACTTGTGCAAGCTGGGGACGGCTTTACGATTGACGGGCTCCTGCGAGCTGCAAGGCAAAAAGGCGATGGAACGTCTCATCAACCGAAGATCGGCTATGAACGCCCGTGCGGCGGCGAGTCGTGATATTCCACTGTACCACTAGATTGAGGACCCCCTGTGTCCTGATCAACCAAATGCAGTACGTGTATCGCCGCGCTTGCTGTTTGCAGCGTCCCTGTGCATTACAACCCTCGAAACACCAGCAATGAAGCACGGCGTTGCACGCGCTCGATGTCGGAACAAGAATCGTGCTTCTCAACGTCATCTCGGGATCCCGGGGCTTTGTGCCGATGGACAAGCGTCTTGATGTCGGTACTGTCACGCCTGATAGAAATGGATAGTTGGCCAGTCAGCAGTGACTATCTGTGACTTATCTCAAGGCTGGAGGATCCTTCACATGCGTCGGATCAGCTCGCAACGAGGCAGTTTCATACTCTGCGTGGCGATACGAGAGGAAGTGTGTCAGAAATCGAGCCTAAACGGCTTTGCTCTCTTCTGTAACGCTGGAAAGATCTATGATATCGCAGCGTAAGCAGATAGCAATTTTGAATCCCCGAAGGGTACGTTTGCAAGTTGTAGACGCAAGGCATGGATGTGACAGCCTGCCACAACAGCGTATCCCTACATCGCCGGAATCGAGTCATCGGTGTCGGTGGGTACGCTACGCCGTTGCTTCACGTATACAACACATCGGACGTCCACATGCAATTAGTCTTGCGAGCGGCAAAATGGACTTCCGAAGCTGAAACGACTGAGCTCGAGCTCAGGCTGATCGATGTTCTACCCTCATCTCTATACGACCCTTCTGACTCTTCGAAGCGGCTTTCAACACGGCGATCGTCTACACATGCCACCCACGGCTTCCACGTTCTGATGCTAGCATTGTCAGGATCGTTCAGACTATCTGGCTATGGCTCGTTCGGATGGCCAGCCCTTGAGCAGAGTCTTTGCAAATGCGAAAAAAGAGGGATGAAGCTACTGGAACGTGTACGCCCAGACTAAACGGTGACGCGGTTTGCTGCGATTGCTCGCTCGGATGGGCCACGTTCCGTATCTCCCATTACATACACAATGAGGTATGCCCAGCGAGGAGTCTCCGATCCGCCTATCCCGAAAATCGGCGGATGGGACGTGCACATTTTGTCAATTGTCATGAATCATTTGTAGTCGCTAATAGCTTCCTCGAGTTACCTCACAGTCTTTGTGACAGGGTATGTACCCACCGACCCGAGACGAACGGTCACGTACAAAACGTGTGGGTCTTTGGCACGTTGGTACCAAGGTAAGGAAGCGCAAACGTGCAAAGAGTTGCAATGACACTGGCATCTCGATGAACGCTGTCAGGCACTGCCGTAGACAGCGAGCGGCTCAAGGTGAGGGACGGTGGCGCTTAGCTAGAAACTTACGTGGTTCGCTACTCCTAGAATTGACCCCGGTCTCGTTGTACGTGGTTTCGGGGCTACGTATCTTGTACTGGCACAAAGCCATGTAGACCTCCTCCGTCACTAGTGCGGCTTGCCGGGTTTGACTGTTGGTAGAACGTACGAGAGCTGGCTTGGCGAGAGCCTGGAAATGACTTGTGGCCAAGGACATGTACCAGAGGCGTTGTCGTTTATCGTCTCTAGTTCCCGACCCCTGGCTCTACCGATGAGTGAGACTACCTATAGGCCCTCTAAGGGCTTGTTCCGCTATTGCCTGGAAACGCTACCTGCTCGTTTGCAGAGAACCTTACTGCGTCGTCTCATTGCTGTCTGTCCACAGCTGCGATACTGACTGGACTACGAGCTGCCATTTACTTGGTCAGACCCAAAGAGCACCTACGATTGCCCTTTTCTTAGGCTGAACTCGACTACACCACGCATGCAAGCGTCGCGCGATCGTTGTGGAGGGATTTCGCCGGCTTCGGTGAGGCGCTGCTGTAGGAGCTTTGCTTAATCCATCTGTAGCCCATTACGATAGTACGAATTGGCATCAGCGAGTCCCTGTTTCGTGAGATAGGAAAAGAGGGTTTCGTTGACAATCGGTACCTGAATAGAGCGAGCTCGAAGGCGCAACTGCTTCTGGTCCAACGAATGACTCGGTGTTGTCCAAATGATTTGTCCAGCGCGCCCCAACATCAAGCGAACCTTCTGCTCAAATGGGAACAATGTGCTGTAGAGAGAGAACAGATTGTCTATTTACTGGTTAGTGCAAGATCTCTGGTAGGTTGTTAACCACACTAGCAACGCTGGAGGGTCCAGGCATTGCCTACGGCTGGCAGCCTGGCTATGAAAGCCGAGCTGCCCTCTCGGTTCTGATATAAATATGTCGTAACATGCAGAAAGTTGGGCGCCACGCACGGCCGTGTCAGCCCTGCAATGGAGACGTTTGATGAGCGCCCGCAATTGAAGCTGAATCCTCCCCCAAATCATGGCTTCACTGGCTTGCATCGGGATTTTCGCATTGTGAAAAACTCTGTCCACGCGGTGTTGCCAGAGCATTGTGATGATGACGGTCCCTGCGACCTCCCAGATCGTCCTCCAGGCCGTGGCGAATTGATCGATGTCGTCTGGGTATCTGACTAACAGCATTGCCGTGACCTGCGGCGAAATGCGTGGTACTCTACAGTTTGCGCAGTGCTCGAGCCAATCCAGTATATGGTGAGGCTTATGAGGTGTGCTCTCCCAATGACTGATGAGCCGTGCCCAGATTGCCTGTGCACGGGTACATTCCCAAAAGAGATGCTCCTGGGTCTCCTTCTGTCCGACACATTCTCGATACGTGCAAGACCCGTCCGGAGGCCGGTCCTGATACCAAAAGTTTAGCTGACCGGTAGCGTGGCGGTATCGTGTCCATAGCTGATATTCCGTCACCGCGTGTCCGTGACCCCATAGATGAGCCGGCGAGACATCGAGAGCTGCGCGTTGCCAACGGTTATGCTGGCTCTTGGTGCCCAGTCTATCAATGACCTGCTTCAGCGGTGTCGCAAGACACCGCTTAGCCGACTTGAAAGCTTGCCGTTTCAGGAACGAGAAGACGTGGTGATTGGGAACCGTTAGCGGAGCGGACCATGGAAAGCGGTGGACCTGTGGGTTGGAAAAAAAGACGACCCCATTTCGGATGAGCCTGCACTCCGCGAGTTGGGTGATTTCCTGCGTTTTTCCTTGGACCCGCGGCGGTTCCCCGTCGAAAACCCATGAAATGCCATTCTGGCATTGAATGAGCTCCCAACGCTGAGGGTGAATAGAATTGTCCGAGCCAGAAGTGCCCCGAACCCTACCCGGCCCGACCGGCACCCAAGTGATGGCTTGTGTGAAAGGGGGCTGATGCCTTAGCCGGAGTGGGGCCGGGGCCCCCACCGGATTTCCTACATCAAGTGACGGCGACGAGAGTAAGACGATGATCGCCCATTCTCGAAGTTTGGCATGGGAATGGCGGGGGGCGAGGAGGTCCGGGCAAATGCCGCCGAAGACATATTCCTGGGGTCCTGTCCGCTGGATATGGAGTTGTTCAAAGGAGATATCGCCGATCCTGTCATACTTGGACCGGGACAACGCCGACGCCTGTGGGGTGAGAACCCAAGGGTTTCCACTCCACCGGAAAGTCAGCCAGAAGTCTTCGATCCCCTGGGGCCAAAACTCTACTGACTGAGGCCGACTGGGAAGGGGTTCAGAGAGATGCAGCACCCAGTCGTTTTCTTCCCACCAGCTCGTCGATGATGATCGAAGGGTCGGTAGATGGTCCTGTACTCGTGCGAGAATCTCATCCGTTTGCGCGGGTGTCGGCGTCAATGTGCATCCGAGCTCATAAAGTACATCCAGATACCGCTCTGAAGACGGCGATACAATGTGTCGCACGCTCGGTCGATGCGGACTGATGGCCGGGGAACAATGTGCTGTAGGTCACGTGCTTCTGCACAGCCAACCTCGTTCTACCTATGTTCATGTACGTTGCACAGCGGAGCTTGTTCACAAACTAGCACCTCAACACTGCAGCTACTGGCTTTCGAATCCAGCAGATTCTGACAGTACCAGTACCAGTATCTGTGGTTCAACGTCTGGCGATCAGCCGCGCGGCACCGAATACAGAGCTTGTACGTCTCGCAAGATGTGTTGAATACAAAAGCCAGCAGCACAAAAAGACCAATGTGCTTGATGCGCGGATTGCAAGCAGGCGCCACTGTTCGCAGTCCATGAAGCCAGGTGTACGAGGCCGCAGCTGTTCCGAGCACGTGACTACTGTGCAATGCGCTTTGACGCTTTGACTCGGGTCGATGTACCTCTACCTCCCTGCCTTACGCTGCACAATACAAACGTTCTTCGATGCTAAGTTTCCTCCGTCTGCCTCTCTGTTGTTTGTGCACCTCAGCGTGCATCACGACTGGTCCCGTACTTCGCTTAACTTGTCTTGCAGACTACATTGTCCCATGAATCTCACGATGGTGGCCTTGTGGCTGAACAATGACGGACATGGAGCGGCACGTCCATCGCTTCGCTCGCAACAAACTGCCTCTGTTCGTGTATTCGCAATCTTGTACCTTTCAGCGAGAGCTGATCGTTCATCGAGAGGTACTGTACTAGCCATCATACCGATGCAGTGATGGGACACACACGTGCTGTGACAGCAGATACGTAAATGTAAGCGAGCATGGAAGCAAAAAGCTGAGGCCAGGCCCGCTTTTGTTCATACGATGCTGCCATGTTCATTCTCTGACTCGAAGCCAGTACGGAGACCTGGTCCAGGAGCTGACGATGATCCAGGGACCAGGTCTCCCGGGCTAATAGCTGGCAGCTACTCGCGTGGCCCGCACGCTGCGGGGCAAGTACTAGCAGACGTTACTTCCCATTCCGCACAGTGTCGAACAGCTACCCGAGACAAGCTCCGCCTGCTGTGTCGTCTTTCCACGGGCTCTGTCATTGTTCTGTGGAGAACTGCCGACTCGTCGCCCACGAGCGGTGTCCGAACTGATGACGCCTTCAAGTTGCTCACTGATTGGTATCCTGGGAAGACGAACGCGTCGTCTGTCACACCGAGTCTGCTGATGTCACGCGACTCCGCAGTGGACGGGACCGACCTCACCCACCCAAACGACGAGGAGAGAAATGGTTTTTTGATCAGGAAGCCCTATCCAAGGCGCTCATCAACCTGGGAAACGGTTCGGGCGGGTGTTGGACGGAGCGATATCCATCGCACTTCCTAAAGGGAATTAATGTCCAAGGAGCGCAGGAGGAGCAATTCGTTGCGGACCTTGTGCGGTGGAACGAGTTCGCCTGCGCGTACGATGGTACGTTTGATAAGCAACGCGTCAACGAGGCTTCAATCATCGAGCTGCCGAAAAGCTGGTGTCGCTTCTCTTAGCGTTTGGAAAGCGTCCAGACATGAAGTCCCGCGCTTCTGCTTTGCAAATGGCGCTAAGTGATCTACAAGCGGAAGCAGTGGAGCAGAAGTTCAGCGACTGGCGTGAGTTTGGGTACCGACTTGACGAAACCTACGACAAGATGCCCATCGCAGAGGCGGGACGACTTACAGCTGATGACAGCAGGGCGAGACGGTATGTCGTTTATGACAGGATGGTACAGTTGCTTCGTTATGTTCACGTGCCCAACTCACGGGTGGACCTCTCCGAAATGGGCCATGTGCTCGATGTGTTGGTGGAAAAGAGGGGAGAAAAAGAGGTGACGTTGTTTCTGCATTGGCTTCGTAAAGAGGGCCGGTTCGATCCGTACATGGCTACGCAATTACAGGGTGTGTTTATGGTGATGTACCCAGAGACCGTTGAGGAGATTCTCAGTCAATGGCTAAGGTCGAACGTACATCCGAACGATGTCTACGAAACACTTGTCGAGGTAGCGGCTTTCCATTTGCGCGGAAGAGGTAGCCCTGAATTGCAGCGGAAGTTCCTCCGGTCCACGCTGACCCAGTGGGCTACGTACATGCACCTGTATGTCGCTGACGGCCGCTTCAAATATGGCAACAACGACATGCGTTCGCTCTTTGTTCGAAACGGACCTTGGGCGCGGGATGACGGATCAGTAGCACGTTTGACTTTCCTTCGCTCTGTTGACGGTATGGCGGATCGAGTTGACAACTGCCTCGCAGCGCTAGTTTCGACGCAGCCAGACTCGCTGCAGATGGTGCTCGATGGATGGCAAGAAGCATTCATGCACCCTGGGGAAGTCCACCGTTTGCTATTCAACAGGCCAAGAGACAGAGCTACGCCTGACGCCAAAGAGAAGGTGCAAGAGCTTACCTATCGCCTGAAGTTTGTAATGTGGCATCATTATTTTGACGTGTTGAACGTCAACGACGTCTGTGACGACGGTGACAGGGCTAAGCAGGTAGTGGGAAACACCGGTACAGCAGAGACAACGGATCTTTTCCAATGGCTTCGAAGCTACTCTGGTATGGAGGACCGCGCGGACAACCTACTCGCAGCGCTAGCCTCGAGATACTTGACCCCTCTACCGATGAAGAAGCGCAGAAAACTGCACAGGTGATGTTCGAGTTGCAGGTACAGTTGACATGGCATCCTCAAGACGCCTGTCGTACGATGTCTTGTGCGTTGTAAGCAACAGTTTCAGTGAACAAACATGAAAGGAAAGAGAAGTGCGAACCGATTTCTGCTTGGATTGGATGTGTCGACCGGTGTGATACCCGTCAACGTCGTTGGATCCCGTGATTACGGCGATGAAGACGACGTCAGAGACGACGGACGGATTCCGCTGAAGAGCGGAAGATGAGAGCATGAGCTGGTAATCCGTTCGTTCTGTTGGTCTCGGGGCCGTCAATGGTATGTCTTTGTGCTTACTCGTAGCGATGCAGCCACACCTGACTGACTGGTAGGGGTACCACACAGCTATCGTAGAACAAGATGCACTCGTCGCAGTCCGTTTCGATGCCCCTCGGGGCGTAGAGCAAGCGCAACACGAGCTGCTGATGACAACTGTCGTTCACCTTCGGGTGCGCTGCGAACCTGTGCATGCGCTGTGACACACATCACTCCCTTTGCCTCCTCAGCTGTCCCCGCAACGGATCGCACCTCTCGATCGATCGATCGATCGAAACACCCGAAACGGTGTCCCATCGTCGTCTTCAGACTCCAAAGAGCTCCACCCGACTCGCGTCGTTTCTCCTTCAGCGCCAACGGCCTCACAAGCGGTCGCTCTTGTTTTCAAGTCCTCTGCGCTGCAGTCCATTCCACTCCTTCGCAAAGTACTGCACCGCCTCAAGTGGGCGGAAGGCGATCGACATCGCTCCCACGCGATTCAGCCAATCAATTCGGAACGAGTCGCCACCGACGCCAGCGATCGGTCGGTCGGTCGGTCACTGCTGCGGATCGGCTCTCGACCTCATGTCGCCGTCTGCGCGCGAGTCGGATCCGCTGGTCCTGCGCAGTGACGCGCCGTCGTCCACGACGTCGACGTCCACTGCGCCGCGACATTACGGCGGCTTCGAGCAGCAGAAACGCGCGTGGGCGGCCACTGCGCAGCGGTCGCAGCGGCTCCGCGCGATTGCGACACTGCAGCTGCTGTTGGGGCTGTTGGCGTGCGGGAACTACTTGTGGCTGTCGAACGTTCTGATGGCCGTCGTCGGCGTCGTGGGGTGTCTGGCGGGACGCTCGGAGCGCACGAGTTGGGTCGTTGTGGTGCGTCTCGTGCACGTGTGTGAGAGTGCGTTTGGGACGACAAAGATACGCACCTGTGTGCTCATGTTGTTGTGGTGCAATTGTTATCTGTGGGGCGCTATTGTTGCGTTGTTGCTGTTGCTGTTGTTGTGGCTGCTACTGTGGCTCTGGTTGGCACTGGCTCTGCTGCAGTACTTGTTGCTGAGCGCGATGGAGTTTGCACGGATTGTGCTGCTGACGCCGCATCTGCACGAGCGCGTTGAAGTGCCGGGAGTCGCTCTCTCGCGCTACGAGATGTTTCAGGTTGTCGTGCTCGTGCTGGAGGAAGTGGTGTTTGTGGTGCGATCGTGTTGCCTGTTGTTGTTGTTGTTGTTGTTGTTGTGGGGTGGCAGAGGTACAAGTGGGTCGTCGTCTCGGTGGCTGTTGTCTGACGGGGTGTCTTGTGTTCGGTGTGTGCTGTTTGTATGCGGTCCTGCAACTGCAGCCAGCAGCGTTCTACGTGTGCATCGTCGCTGCGGCAGCAGGTGCGAATCCCTGGTGTTAACACTCGGCGCAGTGCGCTCGTGAGCTACCTGCGCGAATTGGACGTACGTGTATCAGAAAGAGCGACGCGAGCGCGACGATGGACAGGATGGGGATGACCAAACCGCGTGCTTTTGAACGCATAAGCTCACAGCTATGAGCTACGGCTTTCTTCACCGCGCCACCCGATACAGGAGTGGCTTTCAGCCGGGACATCAGTATCCTCAATGTCGAGAGGTATTGGGCGGTACGATCCGGCCACATCCTTCTCTGGTCTGGCACAGCAGCCAACGTGGTCTTTATATTGCTTCCCACCTCCAGCCCCGCGTGTCGTCCATACTCGTCTTTTCGTAGCGTGACGTCTCCTAAAGCAGCTCAATTGCGCCGGATTCGACATGTGTCTGAACGCTGCGGTAGCGCAGCACGTAGCGATCGGAGGAAGTGACCTGGACGAAACTCGCTCCCCTGTCGTCGCACTGCACGCCGCCTGCGTCCTTGCCTTGGCAAAAGACAAAGCCGTCCAAAGCCGGTTGGAGCACTGACACGTCCATCCGAACGGCCATCAGAGTCATTCGTGTCAGCGATTCAAACGTTTGTGCCACTTTGGAAATGCCCGACACAGTTAGTGTTCGTACCCATGCCTTCAGCCGAGAGAGATCGAGACTCCTCGTCCATCTTGCTCAGTGCCAAGTCATTCACATGCGACTCATACAGCATCACAAAGCTACACAACACAAAGAGAGAATCAAGAAGGCAGCATATCGCAGCGTCAATCGAGTGACGCGCCCCCATACAACGCCGCATGGTCGCAACAGACCGCTGTGCAAAGTCGCGCTCTTGCACTGACAGACGTTGCGTCAGTCCGGCGTCGTCCAGAATGAGCAAAGCAAACTTTTCAATCTACCGCATCACGTCCACGATGTATCACAAACGAGCCTTAGCACCATACAACATACACATGTGGACAGCTGACCGACCGATCGACTTGGACGACGATCGATCGATCGACAATTGTGGCTGCCCAATACCTTTCGTAGACGCGTGCGGAGATACGACGAGACCATGTACCGCAGTCGGTCAATCTCCATCTGATAGAGCTTGTTGACCAAGGATTTCTGCTCAGTGAGCGCTTCCCGGTCGGCATTGATCGCGTCAATGTATTCCTGTTGATTGCGGATCTGCTCGAGCATCTCGGACACCATCTCGTCGCTGTACTGCAGGATCTCGGGCGCGTGCTACAGACAACAACGAGAGCAGCCGACCGACGGCAGACGTCACTATGGCTTCGTTCCGATCACTCTCCGAGCAGCGATTCGTGCCATCGCGCAACAGCGCCGCATCGGTGGGGTGTGTTCCATCACGAACGCAATTGAGACAGTGACGAACACGTACGAGTTCGTTGACCCACAACGTCCGCATCCGCGCGACGTCTTCGTTCAGGTTCTCGGCATTCCATTCGACCTGCGACGACATTTGATCGAGTGATGTGCACGAACGAACCCACACTTGCGAGATGGCTACAGTCGAGGGCACCCAGAGGAGAGTCCTGTTTTTGTGCCACCACCACCACCACCACCTCGCGAGCTAACCAAAAGTGTAGCCATGTCGAGAAAGGCACGACCCGCGGCTGGAGCTGTTCGCGCCATGGAAGTGGTGCAGTGTCTTTTTTCATTCGGCTTCGCTTGTTGTCGAGCGCACAAACGTTTGCTGCAGTTGACAGTGAGTCGTCGAGAAAAAAAGGAGACGAGAAGAAGTGACAACGACAAGAGCGCACTGAGACCTCATGGGAGCCGTCAACTGCTGTGCCCAAACTGCTCCTGACGGTATCAAGAGCTGTTGCCTGCAGTTGGACCAATGCTCCCTTCGACTAACAAGCATCACGTCGCTCACTTGTGGCTTGCCATTGTGTGTATGCATTCTCGTACGACGTAAACAGTCGATGCGTCGTGGAAGACAGGCGACCGTGATCGAAAGCTGAGCAGAGGCGAAGCGAGAGAGCTCCTGCCCATGTATACCTACGAGCCGTCCCTGTCGCTGGATCTGGAAGAAGACCGGGTGTCGAGTCCCGATGGTGGCAGTGCGAGCTTCTTTTCGGGAACGCCGAGCTCAGCAGCGAGCAATCGAGAGCTGGACGACCCGTCGGTCGTTGTTGTCTCTGCGGACGGTGTCGTAGAGATTTACAGACATCTCGAAGTGCACGAGGATGGTCTGACACCAGAGGCACGACTAGACGAGCAGGATGATGACGTATCACCAGAAGCACGAGCACTGCTTCCTGCGCCCAACTCATGCCCTCGTTCGGGTGCGTGTTGTAAACGGAATTGACGTGTGTGTGTTGTGTACTTGAGTGCTAGAGTGCTGACTTACCGTGTTCAACAGGCATGAACATCCGTAGTCGGCAGTCACCGACGTTTGGAAGCACAAAGTCTCACGTGTCGGCGCCACGACGGACACAGTCATTCGGTGAAGGTATAGCCAGCCTCATCGTGCGGCTTTTCTCCCGTCAAGTATCTCACACGATTGCTGCTTCGTTTGTGTGTGGCGCCGTGTGAGTAGATCCCTACCAAGTACACCTGGACGACTACTTGTGCGCGTGCAAGCGCTGTCCTCGAGCATTGACGATCCAGCGCGCGTTTCAGCTGTACGGCTTCGCACTTGATCATCCTCACAGCGACGCCCTTCTCCGCGTCTTGCGTGCATGTGCCAACTACGACGAGACGATTGTTGAAGTGGACCCGATCCTCGTGCTGCATGCCGAGAAGATGCTGGAAGAGCTCAACTTTAACGAGAACGAGACGTTCTGCCTCCTCGTGGCTTCGCACTTTCAGCGCCCATGAAACTGCAGTCTCCTCGACTCAGAAGTAGTTCCATCTCGACGTACAAGCCAGCAGAAGTAGCGACGTACTCGTCACTTGACGTGCGACGCTGTAATCGCCGCTACGTTCGACAAGCTCCAAAGTATCTTTTCTCCCACACATTGTTTGTCGCTCTCGTTCTTACAAGTCTCACTTACTGAGACGTAGACCATTACTGCTAGAAGTAGTAGTAGTAGTGGTAGTACTAGTAGTAGTAGTAGCAGTAGTAGTAGTAGTAGTAGTAGCAGTAGTAGTAGTAGCAGTAGTAGTAGTAGTAGTAGTAATCGGTAGGTGAGTAGATGGAGTGCTAATTGTAGTGTTCGTACTAGAAGTCGTACCACTTCTGCCTCTCTGATACGGTATCAACTACAGCGCTTTCGGTCCGGTTCTCGTGTTGGAAACACAGTGGAAAAAAAACGAGTGGCTCCGTCCACGTCATTGTCCAAAGATCGCCCCCCAAGCCACACTCGATCCCTCTTCACCCACTTCCACCGCCTCTCCACAATGCCGCGCGAACGCACGTACATCATGATCAAGCCGGACGGCGTCCAGCGCCACCTCGTGGGCGAAATCATCAAGCGCTTCGAGACCAAGGGCTACAAACTCGTGGCGCTCAAGCTCGCGCGTCCGGCAGTGGAGCACCTCGAGGCGCACTACGCGGACCTCGCTGGCCGCCCGTTCTTCCCGGCGCTCATCAAGTACATGAGCTCTGGCCCCGTGACGTGTATGGTGTGGGAAGGCACGAACGTGGTGCTCGAGGGCCGCAAGATGTTGGGCGCGACGAAGCCGACGGACTCGGCGCTCGGCACGATCCGCGGCGACTTTTGCGTCGACGTGGGCCGCAACGTCTGCCACGGCTCAGACTCGGTCGAGTCGGCCGAGAAGGAGATCGCGCTGTGGTTCCCCGAAGGTCTCATTGAGTGGAGCGCCTACGACGACGAGTGGGTGTACGAAAAGTAGAGTCCGCAGGCTCGAGGAGCCGTCGGCCACATTGTGTAGGAACTCGAGACTGAGGTTCCGTCGCGTGCGATGTCAGCTGTCTACATATTCGGGTCGCACCGATCTCGTGTGGCTAACTCGAACAGCACTTACTATCGATCGACACCTTCGGCCGTCATCCTAACGCGAATGCAAAATGACTCACTTTCTGTGTCACCACATGTCTCCTCCTCCTCCCTCTCTCTTCCGCAGCAGTGGCGCAGTCGAGTGTCTCGCTGGGTTAGTAATCGCTGCACGTGGGCGCTCAAAGTGTCGCATCGACGGTCGCCACTCTTCACTTACTCGCGCGACCGACTCGTGTCCAGCTGTTTCGTCAGCAGTCGACAGCTCGCGTCGGACATGTCGCGCGTACCCACTTAACTCGCGACTGAGCAATTCGAGTCGCTTTTTTCTCTCTCTCTGTGTCCCTCTGGCTCTCTCTCTCTATCCGTCTGTCTGTCTGTCTGTCAGCTATGAAACGGACTATGTGTTAAGTGTATGTCTGCCTGTCTGTCGGTCTGTTTCTGGCTCTCTTCCTGTCGCACGGCTTCTGCCATACCAACCGAAACGAAATGAGCGACGTAATGGTACCGCAAATTGCGAGAAAAAATGAACTGATTAGTCTCAAGCCGTTTGTCCGCTCAACCCGTTTGTCCGTCCATTGTTCCAAGCGATTCTCTCACGAGCGACTGGACACGGCACCTCCTGATCGCAGCGTCCCCATTCTCTCCACTTGACAGAGCCGTAGCAGTGGACAGAACGAGCGCACAGACAGAAGCACACTACAGCATTAACTCTATCACATGACATCCGATAACGCGTACGAAGTGCACGTGCTGCCGAGTTTCGTGCCCGTGTTCTGGTGCTTTGCCGGCGTCAGCGTCGGGCTGTGTTACTACGCGCTGCAGTATGCTGCGAAATACTCCACAACGGCTGCGTTTCTCCTGACGGTGCGTGCGTCTCGCCCGTGTCCCGTGTGGACAATTCTTCGGCGCGCTCATTCTTCTGCTTGTCGATGCTCAACGTCCTCTTCTTTTGTTGCTGTCATTGTGTCGTGCAGCCCTTCATCTGTGTGTGCTTAGTCTTCGATAACGCCGTCATGGCTTCGACTGGCATCGACCGTCGACGCACCAGTACGCAAGCCATGTTGGCTTTCCACGCGTGTGTGACGCCCATGCTCTTGTTAGTCTGCTACGAGCTCTCCTACTTGGTGCACAAGCAGAGAGCTGTTGCCTTCTGTGGCATTACGTTTGACCGCAGTTGCGATTATAGTGGCAATGAGGCGGCCGTTGGTTCGCGTATGGCGAACAAACGTCGTGGCTTGTGGCTATCGACGTGCTTGCGGATTCTTGTGTGGCTCGTGGCTTGTGGCTTGTTAGTGTTGAATTTGCTCGTGGCGTACCACTGGGCATCCAACCTGTCGCCAGAAGTCACGAGTCTATACGCCATTCAGGGCGACAATGTGGCTCATGCGGTGAGCGCCATTGTCCCGGCAGTCGTTCTTGTCATATTGGCACTCTATGTTGGACTGCAGCTGTGGAACTACGGCACGCATTACTCGTACACGGTACACGCAACGTGCTGCAATCCGTGGATCTGGATGCTCGTGGGTGCCATTGCACTACTTGTTGGCTACCTCATGCCGTCTCCACTCTACGCGCTGTCTTCAAACGCCGGCGAAGTCGTCATGATGGCTACCATCGTGCGCATGTTTCGCGAAGTGCACGATGACATACAGCAAGGACTTCAGTTTGGCGAGTTTGTGACTTCGGAAGGTGCCGCGAGTCCCCGTCAAGGCTTGCCACATCTCAATGCGTGTCTAATGAGCTGGCACAAGAGCGCGGGCCCGAGCAAAACAGATGCCGAGCAACCGATCGGGTACACAGCCTTGTCAACTCCAAACGAGAGGCCATTTCCTGTCACACTGGCCCATTCCTTACGCCGGGATCAAGCGAGATACGCAACATCCAGCGCAAATGCTGCCAACCTTTCGGTTGTCGTGGATGGCGAGCGTACGAATCAAGTGCCGTGCTAGCAGAGGGAAGAGAGCAGGCCGTTTTTGACGCACATGGACAACACCCCACTTCTCTATACTTCTCTCCAAAGCATTGTCACGTGCAATTGGTACAAGCACATGAACGGGTCAGAATGTCGAGCGTCACACAGTGGTGTCGGCGATGCTTCACTCCCACAAGTCCCGAAAGCCACCAAGCCAGCTCATCGAATCTGACGGCTCTAGCAAGCAGTACAACGACTGGTTCTTCCACATATGTCCCGCATCAGCTTCGATATCCCAAAACAATCGATAACATCATCGCGTGTGCGATAACAGCTCTCCAGCTTCATGATAGCATCTGCAGCGTAACTTCGTCAAAGTGTTTCTGCGCTGCTCGTGACAAGTGCCAGACAGTTGCAGAAGCTGTTGTGTTTATTTATGCGCCAAGAGCGACGACGGCACCGTTGTCCAGCATTAGCTCTGTAGAGTATTCGTTGCTTTTGCACCTGACGAGCATCCGCGATCGGACGCCAATCAATCCCTTAATGTCGTCGTTAGATCTTGACCGTCACCATTCGTTTCTTCTTTACGCTCCACATTGCACGACCACCTGACAACGCTCATCACGATTGACTGCAGATCACATTGACGTGAAGAATTACGTGACTGTCACTTACAGCCATCCGGCAGCACGACGCTCACTCCCAAGACAGCGGAAGTCAGCATTGCGCTTCCGTGAGTGGCATTGATGAGCGTCAACGAGTCACTCAAAATCGATGATGACCTTATGCTGCGGCTAGAAAGCTACTATACCCCACTTGAGAGCACAACATGAGCTTCCTTCGTGTGTTTCTGCTTCTTTTCGAGAACCTTCATCATCTTTGTGCTGCCTTCTCCGGACAGCTGTTTCTGTGCCTTGAGCTCCTCCTTCAGCTGCTTAAGTCGCTTCTCCTTTTTCTTCTTTCCCGGCTCTTGACCGTGAAACTTGTACGACAGCTTGCGAAACGCCTCCTTCTTGGTGAGGAGGCGACCGAACTCGTCGCGGTAATCTAGCTTCACGCCATTCTTGATACGCAAATCGTCCTCGAAGCTGCGGTCGCGTGTATCGTTGGCACGACCAGCCTGTCGTTCTACACGGGTCTGGTGGAGATCGCCAGTCTTGCGCAGCAGTGCCAGAGTTGCACCCATCCCTGTGCCAACCAGTGGCTGCTCTTCCCCCCACACCTCATTCTCCTTCGTCTCTTCGTCCTCGCTATGCTCCTCCGCTTCCTTCCCTTCGTCAGCCTTCATCTCTTCGTCTTGCTTCTGGGCTTCGTTGCTATGTTTCTCAGTCACAGGTGCTGCTGCTGTCTTTACAGGTGCAGCCTGAAATTGCGCCGCGCGTTTTTCCATGGCATCGCGCAGCCGCGTCTCGAAGTCTGTAGCCTTGTTGAACACTACTGTGTTCGATGCAGTACCAGTTGTGCCGAATACATGACCGCCAGGCTTGCTACCAGACCGGGCTGAATCACTCGTTGTGACATCGCCAGCGCCGTCTGTGGCCTCTTCAGTGTAACTATTGTTATGCATGCTTTGACGCACGAGCTGCTCAATTCGGGCCTCGCTAGTTATTGGGGCTACGGACGCCTGACTTTGAGTCCGCTGCTTCGTCAACTGTCGAGCACGGGCCAGTGAAGCATCAAGCTCCATTTCTACCATAGCAGTGTCGTCCATAACCTCGCTGTCGTCAACCGGTCGCCTCTTTACGCGTTTTTTGGCAGTATTGACAGCAAGCGCCTCGGACGCCACAGCATTTGCCTTTTCTCGAGCTTCCTGGAAACGATACAGATTCGCCTCTTCATCCGTGTCATTCCCATCATGATGGTTGCGCTTACGCTTCCCGCGGTCCCTAGATACTGATGCACCGGCCTGCAAGGCTTCTTGCTCCAACTGAGCAATCAGCGACGCAGACTCGTTGCCGACATTGTCTCCCGAGCGCGTGTTCAGCTGCACCTCCTCAGCATCGTTCTCACCAAGATCGCCATCGCACTGACGACGAGATCGCTTCTTCTTTTTGCGCAGCTTTTTCTCTCTCTTGTGATGCGAAAACTTTACCTCCACTTCTTCCTTTGTGTAATAATCTTCTGCCCGTTTCGTTCTGTCTATTGCCAACGATATCACTGCCACATCGCCTTCATCGTCCCCTTTTTCCTCGCGCTTACGCGCAAGCAACGCTTGGGACCCTCCCGATGCATCTAAGCGAAACCTGTTCGCTGCTTCTGCATCCACAGCATCCTGCTCTTCATCATACTGCGCCAGCAGTTTCTTCCCACTCGTTTTCATCTTCCGATCCTTCCCCATTGCAACAATAAACTCGTCGTCATCGTACCCGGCATACACTGGAAGTGCGGCGCGTCTCGCTCTTGCCTGCCGCGCCACACGTCGGTCACGCTCGCTCAACTCAATGTTCACAAGCTCGTCTTCGTCTTCAAGGTTCAGGTCCTTGCCATCGCGTCCCAGCACGTTCGAGTCCTTGAGCGTCAGCACAACGTCCTTGCCGTCCTCGAACGTGTCCAGCGAATGACCCACTGTCATACCTGCCAGCGAACTCGCAGCATAGGTCGTCTTCTCTTTCTGCTCCTCTCGCTTTTCTTCTGCCGTTGTTTTCCGCGATTGCTTCACCCACTCGAGCACCTGTTCCACACTTGTGCCACTGCGCTCTTTCGATACGCCCGAATCCTCTCGCAACTGCTCGCCCAGTGATTTTCCAGCGACCTTTTGTACCAGTTCTCGTCTGGTCTTCGACTGCTCCAGCGTACGCTGCAGCTCCTCCTGCTGCTGCTTCGCTGTCGCTTCGTGTACGCGCGTATCCTGCTGCTCTTTCTGTGCGACAGAACGCACCGTCAGCGGCTTGAGCCCCAGCGACGCGCGCAGCTTATTCGTTTCTTCGATACTGAGCGACGACTCGCCATTCTGCTTCTCGTCTGGCGGAGACGCAACGGGCGCGTCACGACTGCGACTGCGACGATGCGAGCGACGCAATGCAGACGATGGAAGTGGTCGAGCGCGGCCTGTGGACGTGGCCGACGAGCTGCCGTGGCGTCGACGGACGGGCGAGCGCGACGCACTGCGACGTGGAGCCATTTGGTCGGGAGGTTTGATTTGATGGCAAGGGGGTCGATGGTGTAAGTGGTGTGGTGCACATGATGCGAAACGAGGGGTTTGCTCGAGCGACTTTGGGGACTTGCAGTTGCTTATATTGGGAAAAGGGAAGAAACGGACGAGTTGACTGACGAACTTGGGATGGTGATAGCTGAGCTGGCAAAACGAGTTTGCTCTCTTCCACGTACGTTCGCTGGCCAGATCCATTGAGGTGGCTTAGTATTCGGTATTTGCGATCGAACGCAGCGATCAGCTTGTGACTGTCCTTTTGTCGATCACGTCCACCACGTGGCCTCTCGGTGTGGCTACTGCTCTTTTCCTACATGGCCACACGAGACTTTGACATAGTACGCAGTCTAAGGAGTATACTACTGATTCACCAGTACCCAACGCTGAAGCAATACAACAGCGTCTCAATTACTTTCGTGTAGAAGTAATACTTGCAATATTGCACGAGGTGTACATGAAGTCAGCTGATGCGCGGTTCTTATGATAGCGTGTCTACGTCTCATTAGTGTCATGTATGATTCCGTTTACTGTCGATGTCCAAAGTGTACAATGCACTTCATGAATTTATAGCTGTTCAATTATCCTCTCTCATTGCGCGGGACCAGGCGAGGGAGCCATATCATGCGAAACTTAAAACCCTCATGAAGCCAATGCAAGCGGTTGCCAATGCAAAGTGAATGAAAGCGTCTCAATTGACTCGATTTGGTTGAGCTGGATACTTGGGTGTCCTTGTACCATGTATAAGACGATCTGTTGATGGCATTGGACAAGCCACGGAACGGACAAGCTCTCATCGCGACATGAACCAACATACGTCTCTTTGCCAGGATCATAAAACATGTTGATCAAACGAGATGAGTTAGGAATCGGATGAACTATGTGAGTTTGTATTGGTCTCACCTCCGACACGGTTACAACGAAAGACGCTTGCTCCAAGAACTATCACCCTGTCTTTTAATCAGTGTTCCTTCCATGACTGGAGCTGAAGTCGTACTATGTCGCCACAATGTGAATGGCGCGGGCAACAAACTTGGTAGTACCTCCTCCATCGAAGGAGGACAGTAATGCTCGTACTAGTTTAAGTTGCATCGTACTGAACTTGTGCCCATCATGTAGAGACCAATGCTGTAACGGGGTGAGCCTGTTGCATAATGTTATCATTTGTGACAATATATTGATAGCATTTTGTGACAATATAGTAATAGAAAATAGTAAGTCGAATATTTTAACCACAATATCACCAAGCTCAGTGATATTGTTGCAGTGACCCAAGGGTCTCCTCATTGGTTGATATATTATAAAAAAACGTAACAATCGCTGCAAGACGCGCGCAAGGGTATGAGTATACGTCACTATACATGCTTTGGTGTATATTGATTAAGTAAGTAGTGCTTATCGGTCAAGACATATTTTAGTACTTACATATACTAAAACATTCTTTCTTCTCACTTACTGAACTCAGTTATTTCGAACTAAGTCTTCCTTTGAGAGCTTGGAGATTACGCAAGCTAAAACGGGCACTAGTTCTCACTGCAGTAATCGAGAGCTAGCTACGCACTGACAAGAGTGCGTAGCTCCACAGTGCCCTGATACATACATGCACGTGAGAAAGTAATCTGAATTGATCTCACATTTTGGGTTTTTATTGTCCAGCATTGGACATAGATGGCACACTAATCTTTTCGTCATGTTAACGTAGGCACCGTAAAAATGGAAGGTGGGGCGTGCAAAAATGTGGGTGACGGATCGTGACACAGAACGCTGAAGTGGACAGAAATGACATTTACACTAGTTTTATTTAAATTTATCGACCAACCAAATTGCACACGGACGAAAAAGACGGGGAAGCATCGAGCCATTGCAGATCGCATATCAGATTGTTCCAATTACAGATTACCGATAAAGCAAAAGTCACATTTGACTTTTATTGATTAATTACGATCGAAACCCTCTTTTGCTTCCTCCTTTTGACGTGCGCAATATGGCGACATACATGAAGATTATCATACCTTAACTAACGATCAATTGATAAATATTACAATCTCTCCACCGCCGAGAAAGAGTATTTGTTAGGGGACTACCCCTTCCGTGACATTATTATCGGGTCAAGCGTCGATCGTGAATACTGTCTTGTCCGACAAGATTCGCATGTTTGCTTATGGCTGATATATTTGTTGAAGAGAAGACGTCTCGACCGACGAAAGAATACCGATAAAACGGTATGTCACTCACTTACCAGTAATATTGCGCTCAAGTTGATGACGGCGGAATAAATGGTTACGGAGAAGCCACGCGCCTATTGGCTGAGATAAATCAGAATTGGGGTATAGTGAGTGCAGTATCCCATAATTAGTGGCTTGGAGGTAGCGAGCAGTTTGCGAACCCGATTTAGGAAGAATTTTAACGGATTATGGTTTCGAAGGACTTCCTTTACAAAAAGATTTTCCTTTAAGTGTATTTTTGGAAGTTTTTAATAATGAATTAAAGGAGTAGTTTACGAACCTACTAATTTATCACAACAATATAGATTTTTAGAATTAATATTTTCCTTGGGATAAAAATCATAAACTTCAACACTTTTAATTGTTTCTGTTTTTTGGTAAAAGAAGGACCAACTAATATACTCACTTTGCATTTTGCCAACAACTAAGCACTCGATCTTTCTGAGAGGGTGTTAGACTAAGGCCCGTTTTCCCTGACTCCGACACCGACTTCGCCCTTGCCATAAACGCCTCTGCTCCCAACCGTATCAACAAGTTCGACGGAACAAATTTCCTCACGTGGAAGTTCAAGATGCAGATGGCGCTTGAGGAGTGCGACCTGTGGAAAGAGGTGAGTGGAGAGATCAAGGTGGAGCAGTGCGTCTAGCAGTTGGACGAGACGAATTACGAACGCAAGTCCCGCAAGGCATTGTCAATCATCTGTCTCGGGATGGAGGATTCGCAGCTGTTGTTGGTCCGGTCATGGAGTGAAGCACATGATGCATGATCGCGGCTGGAAGGACATCTCAAAAAGGAGAGCCTCGCAAACAAGCTCTTTCTTCATCGTCGCTTCTAAAAGGCCAAGATGGATGATAACGATGATTCGTTGGAACCCATCAACAAGGCCAAGACGCTGGCGGAGCAGCTCGACGCAATGAGTGCCCCGGTCAGTGAGGACGACCTGGTAATTACGCTCGTCGCAAGTCTCAGCGAGTCGTACGGATTTCTCATCACGGCGTTAGAGTCAAGAGCCGACTCGCTGTCATGGCATTTCGTCACGTCTCGGCTGCTGCACGGAGATCTCAAGCTCAAGGAGTAAGGCGTTTGAGGAGCGGCGAACAGACAAGATCAAGCGTTCGTGACTCACGTTACTCGTCGTCGCTCTGGACTACAAGCGCATGCACATACCAGTAGCGCCTGTCATTACTGTAGGAAGCACGAGCATTGAGTCGCCAAGTGTCCATCTCAGATCCGGGAGAGCGCAGAGCCACAGCGGGTGCAGAGTGCCAACCTTGCGCAGAGCAACGATGAGCAAGACAACTACCTGTTTCTTGGTTGGAGGGATCGCCTGCTCTGCCGAATCAAGATGCGTGTGGCCGGTTGACTCGGTTCTTGCGCAGCACAAAACGACCTCGAACGAATTCATAAATAATTACAGGAAGACTAACCCTGTGGACGTGCACCTTACAGACGAGGGTGGTTTAAGGGGTGGGAACGGGCGACATCATTATGTCGATGAAAACGCCACGAGGAGTGAAAAAGGAAATTATTACATATGTGTGGCACATTCCCCAACTTTCGCGCAATTCGTTCTCCGTAAGGGGTTTCGCCAAAGATTTTGGCCCGGTAACGTTTGAGCAAGATGTATGCTTTGCTGAAGTGAAATGTCTTCGTTGAAAACTTGGTGTGCGCGAAGGCAATGGAATTTTCAAGTTGTGCATGAATCCTCTTCTGATGGACGGGGCCAATGTGAATAGCTCGTTAAGATGCCATGGGGACACCACTTCGAATCTTTGGCACCTTCGACTACGTCACACCGGCTATAGCGGTCTATTCACCACCGTCACCAAAGACTGTGGCATTGATATCAAGATGACATCAGTGCGCAAGTGGGAGATATGAAATGTATGTGAGCTCAGTAAGCAGACAAGAATGAGCTTCATGAAGTGTTCCACAAAGTGTGCCAAGGAAGTGCTCAAAGTCATCCACAGCGACATCTGTGGCCTAATGCGGACTGAGCAATTCAGTGGCAAGCGCTACTTTGTCACTTTTATTGACGAGAAGTCGCATTATTGTGTCGTTTATATGTTATAAACACGTCAAAAGTAGCCGGAAGTTTTGCCCAATTTGTTGCGCTGGCCGAAACCCAGACCAACATGCGCGTGAAAACGCTTCGATGTGGTAACGGCGGGGGATATAATTTTGGTTTGATGGCCAAGTTCTGTGCAGAACGCGGCATTGTACAGAAGTTTACGCCTCCCCACACTCCTCAGCTGAATGAAGTTGCCGAGCGCATGAATCGCACGCTGGTTAATTGCGGTTGTTGCATGCTAAAACACGCTGATTTGCCGAAGTCGTACTGGAGGAAGCTGTCATGACTGCGATAGTTCTCCGCAAACGATGCCAAACACGTGCGGTCGGTCATGGCATTTCATCTTATCAAGTTTATGCTGGAAATAAACCCCTGTTGGAGAACCTGAGAGTTTTTGCTTGCCATGCGTACGTCCGCGTGTCCAAGGATAAGAGCTCAAAATTTGACGTCCTCTCGGTGCGCCATCGATTTCTTGGCTATTCCGAACATGAAAAGACTTATCGATTCGAAGACATTAAGAACGGTCGTGTGATGACAAGTAGTGATGCGCGATTCATGGAGGACGACTTCGACCACATTAAGACAAGTCCAACAGTCGCCGTTCAAGATGAAGCGGTGGTCGGTGAACCTTCGTCTTAAAGTGATCAGACCGACCAAGATACTGATGACGCTGGGATATA